AAAAAAGTAATATACTACTTAAAGATTTATTATTAACTTTATTATATTTTTTATTATTATTTTTATTATAGACTTTAATAATATTTTAAGTAACCTCTTTATTAAGCTATTATTTCTTTATTAGCTTTTTTTTTAACTAATATAATAAGTTTTTTTATTTATTAGTAATAAAAATTAAAGTAATTAGTTAAATAATAATAAAGCCCTTTATATTAATAAAAAGCCTTTTTTTATTTTACTAGTTATTTATTATAAAGGTATAAGTAATTATAGTAATTATTTATAGTAATCTAATAAAAAATAATAATATAAATAAAAGTAAAAAAAAATAAAGCTTATTTAGCCTAAAAAAAAAGGAAAGCAGTAAAAATAATAACCTCTATAGAGATAACAATAATATATTACCTAATTTAAGCCTTAATAATACAAGAAACTCTACTTAATTTCAACCTAAGGTATTTTTTTACTATGGTATGGCCGTTACCGCACTTATAACGCAGTCATCGATCAGGCTCCTAGAGGTTTCATGGTCGACAATACACAGATGCGCCAAGGGACCGCATCGTTCTGAAACATTAGCCCGTACGACGCCATCAGTCATTCCTCAAGAGTCAATGATCACATTAAGTTTGCGACGGATCCATAAGGCCCGACCTGAGATTGGCATGTATCAAAGTGGATGCAACAGACTTGTTATGTGTAAGCTATAGCGCGGGTGATCCGAAAAGCGCTTACTCTGGCATCAAAGATACACCACCACCCACGATGCGAAGCAAGATCCCGACTTTGGGGTCACGCTTATTATTTCGTCTCTACCCCTCTTCCAACCTTTGTTATTCCATCCCACCGGTTACGTCTACCAAAGGGTCCAGACTCTGGTCTAAACCTTGAACCTCGAAGGAGGGAAGAAAGTCTGAAGGTATAAACGGACGTTCCTCCAACATGCTCTGCCACACCTCGACGCTCATTGGTTCCTTTGGGCAGCTTAAAGCATTTCCCGCACCCCCATTGCGCGCGTTTAGCTTGTGCGACAAATGTTTTTTCCCTTTTTCTTATTTGCGAGTAAACCCATACAAACTATACTATCCTTTCTTTAGAGATGCCAGGTAGTACAAAAGGGTCTACAGCTCCCTGCGGGGCTTTCCAGGTGCGGCGGCCCGTGTTAGTAGAATCAGCAGCTCGCGAGGCACGTCTTGGCCTCTCAACGCGACCGAGTCGGTGCTAGGCTATAATCGCATCCTACGCCTGCCAACAGCTTTGAAATCCATTTTTGATTAAGTATCCACTTGTTTGCTAGCCAGAACCAATAATTCTGGTTGGTTGCCAACGCTTGGTGTTGGAGCGCTGGATGTAGGATGCGGAATCCGGTCCAGGCTCTCGCTCAATCTCCAAGTAATTACCAATGCCAATAGCCTCACTCAGAAATTCCACCAATATCGCTGGGTCATAGGCAGCAATTATTCTCTCTCGCATAGACATTATTTATATTACGGATGATGGGACTGTTGTCCCTTTTATCAATATGACTCGAGGTTTTGCTACTAAAACCAGGCACTTCCCCCTCTTCTTCGGCCAACATACCTTCCCCGCTTTCGAAAATCCTCCTTTTCCATTTTTCTGCACCTTCGATTAAAGCAGATGATTATACAGGGGAGGGGCGGGGGAGGATCAAGGTTTCTAATTCATTGAAAAAGACTTGCCGTTTCGAATTTCGGGGTTTGATGTCGAGGCATCACACTGCCTAGCTGAGAGTGCGCTTTGGAAAAAGTTGGCCCAAGGCGAGGCAGTGCTAGCCCAACAATGTCTTTCCTACAGAAGCGTCTTCTTCGGCCAAAAGATCCCACGGAAATCGTGCTTTCGGACCGAGATTCTGCAGTGACAGGTGGTCAAGAGCAAAGGTACTCCAAGTCGGAACCAACCGCACCCTTTCAAAGGATCTTCAAGTAGACCAACTCATGACGAACCTTTGACCTACGTCACTCTGAGAAATACATTACGCTTGATAAGTAACCGGTCAGGGTAGCATTGTGATGTTTTGTGCAATGTCTCTGTGAGGTACATCGACCGCATAATATCGCCATAGACGGCACTAAGGGGGGGAAGGGGGCTTTGGATACTGAGAGTATCAGAAAAAGAAAACAAAAAAAAACTAGCAATGGCAACTTGGTAAGCCAAGATCGTCTCTTGAGTCAGTTAGACTGGCGACGGGTACAAACAAGATAGCTCATATGCATATTCCGGGCTCGCATTGTTGCCACCTGGGCGTCAAAGTCCGGTAGGCAACTTTGCCCCCTCTCCGCTAGCTTTGCTCCAGTGCCCCGATGCTGGAGGCTCCGAGTGCCTGGGTGCGTCGTATGTTGGTGACAAAGCGACATGTAAGTCCGGAAATCCGCAGTGTCGAGAAACAGATAATCCCGATCTCGGCGGAGGTCGAAGGGTCGGCGAGTGAGGTTCCAAGGAGCTGCTCGCTGTTATGCCAGCTGACCCAGATCCCAACTGCTTAGGGCCTGGCAGTGGTGATGGGGGGAAACTCGCCTCGCAAAGCCACTGACCTTGGGTTCCGAGACCAGGAGTCGCTTGAGTCTGGGGAGGACTTTCTGGTTGCAGGGTTCGTTTGGCTCCAGTAGTGAGAGTTTGCCGTCGACGCCGGCCTCCGCACATAGGTCCTTATACCACGCTAGGTTGACGGTGGAATACCGCAATAGGGCCGAGACCTTGGACGAATGGCAATTGTATGTGCACTGCATCTGGCCAGGTGCCTGATCTGGATAACTGTCACGCAGCAGGCGATCCAGTGCATCGCAGAGACACTCATGGTCTGTTTGTGGCGTTCTGCTCGAGTCCCCTCCCCCCTCCATTCCTCACCACTCACCCCGGTCGCCCATGCGTCAGCTTCGCTATTCGCCCGCTTCGTGGACCGAGTGATGGCTTCCCGCCTTGATTCTGCGTCCAAGGCGGACGCCGTCTCTTACGTTGCCTATCGAATGGGCCACTAACGGTCCTCTGATTTTGTGACTGTTGATTGAAGGGGGCGGGATGAGCAGTGAGTTTAACGAAGAAATCGATACCGGGGTATGAGGCTTGCCCGAGTCTGCTGGACCCCTCAAACCAAGGTCTCGGTGCTCCAACCGCTACCCGCAACTATACCAGCGATTTCAATTCCGTTATTCGCCTCATCTGGTTCTAGTCCGATAGAAAAGCCCCAGTGCGGCTCATGGAGACGTCGCATAAGCCGGAAGTGGGCCTCTTGGGGATCCCGTTATGCGATACCTCACTCAGGTCAGTTATTTCCAAGCCGATGGCTGCGTAGATGGGAAAGTACCAATGATTACAATGATTAATGACCTTGACCTTCTTAGCCACTGCTTCGAGCTCATCGCCAAGGTTGTGCGTATTACATGTTCTTATCCTATCGCCATTTGCTGGTGTTTGAATATACCCTGTATAGTGCGCCTGATCCCTATTGGACAAGTCCAGCCAAGGGCAACTTTTGAAGAAACTGCAATAAGAATGTGCTCCAACCTGTGTTTTTGATACTACGTACCAAGCGAGACGGTACCTGCGACCAGGGAGCTGGGGAGCATGGGTGATGATCATGCTTTGATGGACTGGTTGGACCGTGGTGGAGCGGAGCTAACCCCGCTGGTGTGACCGGGGTTCCGGACGCTAATCAAGTTGTCGGCTTGACCCGGCACCTTCCGGCCAACATTCCGCCGAGTCCTCTCCCCTAGCTTGTGGGATCTCTGGGTTTGAGGGCCCTGTTAAGACCTGAGACGAAGGGTCTGTGTGTAGATGCTTTGGCATATGCACAAAGTGTGTTGGGATAGAGTTGGAATGGTGGCTAAGGGCAATTTACGCAAAACGAGTCTGCGTCGCACTTTGTTCGCGCGATCGTCGGCGCTGGTGTCGGTCTCTGTGAATTGGGCCTCGGAAACGATGGGTAGTCTGACACTTTCGGCGGCTATGGTTGGTGATCGGCAAATGGGCACCAATGGCCCATAATTCGTGATCGAACATCGAAATTTTTTAGCAAGGCTCTTTCGTGGTCTTTGGATCAGTTTCATCAAGCCGTTCCACTGGCCGTTGTGATGAAGGCGAAGACTTCAAATCTGTCCACCGCCGGGTGGGAGAACGAAAGAGGTGCCAAGTCTCTAGCTGTAAGCACCATGTGATTAAAGCCTGCTTGGAATAGTTGGAGCCCAACCTGAGGACCCTGGATGCGAGTGATAGCCAGAGATGTGTTCATTTGCTGGTGTTCCCCTGGGATCATTCTCAGGTACTTCTTCACCCCTGTTCCTCAACAACGTTTTGACGGTTATAATTTAAGGCCATCGCACCAGCTAGTAACAGTCGTGAGAAGACGAGTTGCTGACGAATCACGCATGCGGCTTGCTGCTCGGATGATGACCAATGTAAGGCGGATAAGGTCAGGCCAAAACTCAAACCGAGGAGAAAAGTCAACTGACATGAGGGCTTACGGCAGGACAGTATCGAAGCGACTACTGTCAATGATGGGTGGTCATGATAGGTGCCACGATTGCCCCCTCATGTACCCGTGTCAGACATGGTCAGCAAAGCTAAGGAGCGCGATTGGGCGCTGTGCTTACTGTCCCACAGCCCATGTCTGAAGTTGCAGTAGGGGATGATGACCCTGCTGCTGGATTGTGAATTTGTGCTGATATTTGAGACGCAATTCAATGTGTAGGCTTCTTCCAAAACAAGAATGCGTTGGCGGCTGGCACCGATGTAACCACCGTGCCTGAATTTTAAGTATGAGCCACCAGTATTCCCCAGCTTGGGATTAACATGGACCGAACCAAGATTCCAGCATGAGAGAGGGGCCTGGTGGTTGGTGCCTCTGACTCCGCTGCCTGCCAGATCAACTGAGCAGCTCCGAGGCCACCAAAGATTGCTTGAGCCTGAAGATTGCAGGATGGTGCATCCTGGCCTGTAAGAGTATTCGTTGACTGTGTGATGTTTACACACGAGTGCTTTTCGGCTCAAACCTTCCGCCAAACGTCCTTGTATCTCGCCCATTCCCGGAAACCTTCAAAGCCAAATTAGAAACATCGGCACGAGTTGCTGGCCTTGCACTTACCCAGGGACCGAAACCCAGCCTCGCCTCCCCTAACGCCGTCGATAAACATCTGCCGCATGCCTTGCTCGGCCAGCAGCTTGACGCACGTGTCGAGCAACCTAATGATAACCGAGTCTCGGCTGTTTACCATCTCAGGATGGTCATCTGGGTTGGTGTGAGCGAAGGACGCTGCCAGGATCTTCTAGCTTAGTCACAAACCTATGATGCAAATGCATGTTACACCCCCAACATCGGGCCCAATGGTCGTTGCCCACGGAAGATCATTACCGGCTGGACTCCCGGAGTTGGGAATGTAGGTCAAGGCGATGGCCACAATAGTGTTGCCCTCCAAGCCAAGGAGGATATCCTCAATGTGTGGCGTGCCATCCAATACGTAGTACTGGTCGTACCACCCCATGTTATCCTTGCGGGCCGCGTCTCGGCCGACGATATCCAAGACCTGGTGGTACTCGATCATGCCACATCGCCTGAAAGTCAGTCCAGCTGACGAGAAGCTCTTCACTGGCATATCGTCAAACCTAAGAAGCCAATCCGAAACCTCCAGCCCTTGACCGGGCTGAGCGCCGTTCATCTGCCAACCCCGACGTGAAAACCAGTCTATCGAAAAGAAATCTGAAGGCACACCATAAAGAAGACGCGGAAAAGCTGAGCCAAGTTGCAGTCGATTGACGCCCCGTGTCCTCTGCAGTTGTTTGAGCGCATGGTCGTGAAGACTTAGCCCAACTCCTCTCCCGCGATACGAACTTTTCACAATCAGGACGGCCAATGAACCGAGCAGATTATCTTGACCTCCATCGGGATACGTAGTGTATGTGGCGCAAAAGCCTATGATTTGCTTCTTCTCCGGTTCCCGCACAACGTAGTGCCTGGAAAAGCCATCTCGTTGGAGGAGCAGGACAAGTGCGTACTGCGGAAGGTGATATTTGGGCGGAAGACATTCTGTCCAAAGTTGATGAATGGGTGTCATGTCGATGCCGCAAGCTTCGACTGCCCATGTTTGTGGCGCGATGACGAGGTTTTGTAAGGGAACTGCGTGTCCCGCAGTTGGTCGAGCGTCCCCGAAGATGATTGAAGCGGCAACTTCGAGTTCCGATGGCAGATAACCGGCGATCTGCACAATTGTAGCAAAATGGTCAATGAGAAGGTTGTGAGCTTGCAGGTTGCAGCACGCCACTACAATCTGAGGGCGCTCGTCTGCCATTGTTCGCGCAGCGTCGGCCAAGTCGATTTGAGAGACATCGTCGTCCAAGTGAGCCCCTGATACGACGAAGACGATGGCTTTGGCTCTCTTGATAAACTCGAAATGGATATTAGTGATGCCCCCTCGTTTCGTGTATGGAACGTGCCGGACTAGTGGATGCCGCGAGGCGATGGCACGGCCCAACGGTTCAAAGGGATCCTTGCCATTGTCTGCGAGTCTGTTGTGAGGGACAACGACGGGCGTGAGGAGTACAATAATGTCGTCTTCTGAAAGAATCCTGTTCAAGGGAATGCAGTCTTGCCGGTCCCACAACAACATGGCGGGGAGGCTTCGCGTGGATTTTGGGCTATTCCTGGACGGAGCATGGCAGTCGATCTGCATTTCTGGGGAATATCTCATGGCGGAGATTTAAGAGTGCGGTTCCTTTCAGCTCATTACTATACAGAGTCAGCACGTGGTTACACAAACTAGCTTTGTGTAAGTAGAGTAAGCACTGGATAGGGATTAAAGGGTTTAGAACTTACCAGGCGAGCAATAAACCCATGCAGACAAGAATGAGACGAGTCCAAGGCCACTCTTTCCATACAAAGGCCCACCTGGACAGACGGACCCGGCAGAGAAGAGCCGTACAGACTTGGCGATGTGGCAAATGGGCTAGGATTTCCAGTTCATACGAAATGGCACTGCCGATAAGAAATACGTGGCAGGCTGGCAGGCATGAAGCATATGAAGGGATTTCAGACGGTTGGTGTCAGACACGGACTAAGGCAAGAAGTCCGGATTCAACGTGATGAGGTGTGTTGCCGTCGAGTGGAGCTGTAACAGCTGTGAAGACGAAGAGAAGTGTCGTTGGTTGTTTGGTTTCTGATGTGCAAAGTCGTATGCTGTTCTTGATGGACACGGGGGGGAAGCGCTATGAATACGACATTAGCTAAACTACAGCCGGGAAAGTCTGAAGGGAAGAGCAAGACTAAATGTTAAGCAGATGCATCTTCGGAAAGAAACAAGACTGGTTGCACCTACCGTGGCCGGCTAGTAGCATGCGAGAGTGTAAAAGACAATGGGTTCGACACAGATCTTTATCCTGATAGGTGTGGGAGAGAATGCATCAGGGCAGCAGCACGGAGTGGGGTGTGCGGCAGAGGCAACCGGTCGAGCGAACAGGGCCAGCCCGCCAGGTTGGACAGAATATGGAGACAAATGAGCAAAGGTTAGAGATGAAAATCTTGAATGGGGATATGCACGGAGGCATCATCAGCGGGATGCATAACTCGAGTGTGCCGAGTTTGAGCAACGGTGTATGTAAGAGCGAGTAAGGTAAGGTAGGACAAGAGGTGAGCAGACGAGCAGCAGCGGCTAATGTCGAAGGGCTTCCACGCCTCTCACCGTGGGTGGTGGGTCTTGGTGGCAGCAAGTTAATCAAATCAAGGGCCCTGCGGTTCCTGGTTTGGTCTGGGGCACATCCGTCTGACTGATACAATCAATGACAGATTGGTCGAAGGTGTGCGAGCGTGCGTAACCGTATGTGTGTGTACCCATGGAATGAGGAATGGTGGATGGTGGGAGGAAAGGATGAATGGATGGATGGATCCCAATGTAACCGGCGCGGTACGCAGCGGCAACACCTCCGTCATCCTAGCTTTGGAAGCTGGGGGGGTGCAAAAGCGGAATAATGAGGGACAGACCGTTTTTACCTCGATACTAGGTATGCTGACCACCGGGGCGAGCCATGCAGCTGCTACCGGGCAACACTAGGGTTGGAGGCACGAGGTTACACAAAGCTTCTGCAGACGAAATTGGCGTCCAGCGTCCGTATGGCGTAGAAACACTGAGGTATCCGGAAGGTGAGGTGAGATGGGTAAGCAGATGCAGACGCCACCACACGGCGGCCGGAGGTGTGACACAGAGCCAAGGCCATGACAGACGATAGATGAGCTTCACGACACTAGGCCCTCGAGCGGCCTAAGAAACCCCCACGGCTGAGGATGAAGATGGCTTGGTTAGCCAGGGTCGGAGGCAGGACGGGGTGAAGAGCATGTCCAAGTTGTTGTGACACCAGCTTCAATGCCTTCTAGATCCGGGCATGCGAGGCGGCCACTTGGAGCGCGCTTCTGGATTCTCCGACATTTTCCCATCATCCATGGCCACGGCCTTGGGGCTCTCAACCAACAATGGCCCGGGTAGGCCCGCTGCAATGAAGAGGCGAGGAAAAAGAGGAGGCCAACGGACTAGGCCTCAGGGTTGTGTTTGTGCTTGTCAGGGTATGGAAAATAGGGTTTGCCGGGAGAATCGTACCGATAAAACGACGGGTGAGGAACAGTCAGTACAACAGGGGAATTGTCAAAGGCTCGCTCGGTTCGTCCGTGTCTGCTGCTGTGGAGACACCGGGCCGCGCGACTGATAATGATATGTGAGGGGGAAAAAAGAGAATGGCGCACGGCGGCCGCTCATTGATTTGCCAGACACACCGAAAGACGTGTCGAGGAAACAGAGCAACAGCCAGGTTGGATCTTCAGCAACATGATTAAGAGCACTGATACAGCGGACCTGGCGGCGGCGGCGGCGTCGTCGGTGATGAATCGGGGAAATCCAAGACCAGGACGGAAGAGAAGAGACAATACCTCGATCGACAACAATCGAGTAAGCTTGAGGTCAGAAGTAGAAGCACGGATGACCTCCCGCAGCAGCAAGTGGAGGCCGGATGAAGTGTCGGGTTGATGTGATGGGCCGAAGATGGTAGAAGGATTCAGACGAGGCATTTGTTAGCCAGCTTGTGGAACAACGGGCAGAGATAGCAAGAAGAAAGCAGGTGAGCCGCCTAGCGTCTCGTCTCGGTCAGCCAGGTTGGCCAATCCCAAAGTTGGTGTGCTTGTGCAGTATGCCCAACGTTGGGAGTTGCAGATGTTTCGGGGCCATCATGTCAATGAGACAAGACTGACGGACCACGGTGAGGAATGACCTGGCCCAAGGTGAAGGAGGTTGCGAACTGGAGCCCTTGGTCACGGAACGGGGGCCCCCGGCAAGGTTCATTCGGCATGGCACCTACTACCATAGTACTAGGCATGGCATGTAACCTATGGTGGGTGGGTGTGGGCACGGGCGCTTGACTCGAACACAAACTCGCAAAAAAGAGGTACGTTGTGCCTGTAGTGTGTACCTGGATTCCACAAAGTTGCCTCGTCGGAGTGCGGCAAGGACTCCCCTCCGCAAGATGCATTTCTTCTTGACGAGGCAGTCCAAAGAGAGTCCACCAAGACGCCGTCACCTCTGGTCTTGGTGAGCCTCGAAGCCCGCAAGCCAGAAAAGGCAATGGGAATTGGCTGCCGTCGACGAGCACGAGGCATGACCTCCCTCTCTGCCTTACACATTGTACGCGCAGATGGGGGTCCACCTTTCTCCCGGCCACCGCCATTGCCAATTGCGCTCTGTGCGACCCCAGATGCGACGATGAATGACACCTTCCTGCCGCTTTGTCGCTGTCGTGCATTGGCTACTGCATTGTATCGATTTTTACTCTCCTGGAATTCCAAACAGAGACCTGGGACTCGATCCCCCTAATCCGGAGAAGGTACGTAGAGGAATAAAGGAAGAAGAAGTAGCTCTCGCGCCGAAGCGTCATCCCCCCCCCCCCCCTTTGGATCGGCTAGGTACGACCCCCAACACCGTTGCTCCTCTTGGTTGGCGGCATACACCGCCCGCCTAATTACCGCTGCATCTCACATCTCACATGAGTGAGTTCTTCTTTGGATCCCCAAACTAGTTCCCGGCCTTGGATCATCAGCCTGACTGAATGAGCTCTTGAGCCAACCATGGCGGCCAAGACGGCATACGCGCTCCTTACGGCCCGAAGGTCTGCCAAGCCTGCGGCAACCAGCAATTGGACGCTGGGAATCCGGTGAGCATCGCTGCCCCAGTGTCCGTGGACATGACAATCATCTTTTCCCACATACTACTCCGTACCCGTTGCTGTGTGCCGCCCGCAATGACGAACCGCCTTCGTCTTACAGTTCGGGGTCTGCTGTCTGATGGTGTCGAATGTCTGAAGATGACCTACACGACCTCCACGCCAACCACAACTCCTTCCACCACGCGCAACAATGGTGAGACCCTCGGAATATGAGGTGCTACGGCCCTATCCGCTGGCTTGCGATTTACTTGCCCGCCAAACCAACAGCGATATAAGGAACGACCCAGGGGCCTCGTCTCGCTTCGCCTAATCGCTCACCGAGATCCGTCCGCCGATACCTCCCTCTTTTGGACTCGTTTGTACTGGTTGCCGCTGACGGAGAAACCCCACAAGAATCCTATCCGCACACGCATAGCTATACTGACGCTGCTCCGGTCCTTGCATCTGCATCCATTCTAGCGAAACGCTGAGGTTGGAGCTTGCTCCGGCCTGCGACCGAAGTGTGGGGCTCCACCCGGCCGCTACCTAGGTACTGTACTGTTTACCTTACCACCTCAGCGATGGGATGACAGGGTGACGAAGTGCGTGCACGGTCCATCTTTTCCGGTCTGGACGCGCTCACCTGGTCTCCAACTCCGACGCGTCCATCAACCACGACGGGACGGATCGGGATCATTGTCGTTGTCGGGGCATCACGACGCTGCGCCCCGCCTGCACCATCACATGTCGTCGTATCACGCCTGACCCAACAATAGAGTCGTTGGAGACCGTTCATGTCCTTGGCTTGACAAGTGCCGGCCAGCATGGCTTCACCCACTGGTGATATGTCCGTCGACGGAGGCACTGAAGACATCCATCTCTTGATCGAGGACGTGGTTGAGGGTGAGTCGCAACTTGGAAACCTATGCCTTCCGTGATAATGACACAGCCTTCAGCCTCCAAGCTACCGTCCAAACGGCGAGCTACCAGCATCAAGCCTACCGTGGAAAAAATTACGTCTTTCGCCTATCACAGAGGACTGCTACCCGAGCCCCTGAGCGAACTTATCGACCTGCTGACCAGGCCCAACCACCTGGACCAGGCAAGCCTGAATGCGTTGTTGAAGAATTTGTACCCCGCGACTCGGCTATCCAAGGATGCTGTTTTGAGGGTGGTCGGATGTCTGGGGCATGGTGAACTGAAACCTTCGCTGGCCCTGCAATCGAATATCCTCAAATGGTTGATTATGGTCTACCATGTCATTGAGAAGCCAGCTTTATTGTCGCAGGCATACGCCGTGTTGTTCAATCTTCTCGACACGGCTGCCATTCGGTCAGCACCCCGCCCACTGCGTAATGGAAGGGGCTAACGCGAACCAGACCGCAACTGTGTCATTTACTTGCCCTAATAACGCGCCGGAAACACGTCCGGCCCTTTAGGATTCAAGCAGTGTAGATGGCCTCTTGTTTACCCTGCGATTTCACTTGATGCTAACCTTACGTCTCAGACTCAATCTTTCCAGGAACACAGGCAACGACCCGGCCTTGACAGGGCTTTTGAGGGTCTACAAAGACTACTACCCCGAAATCATTGTCAGCGATGCATTGCGAGGCAGGGCATCGGCCTTCAAGGTAAGAGGTAACGCACTCCCAAAGAAGCCCATCTGACGCTTGCAGCATCCTGACACGGAATGGCGGGAGAGGCTTGACCAGATCCAAAGAGACCACTCGCAGCGCGCTGCGGAGACCGCCGGCCAGCCTCGGAACGGCTTCAGTGTCAATCACCTAGCTCTGAAGGTGCGCGGTGGCAAAGCATCCCATCTTCCTTCCGTCCATACTTCAGAGGCTACAGAGGTGAGATAGATCAACGGAAAACGTCAACACTCAAATTGGAGACTCACCGTCACAACAGAATTCCGTCACTTTGGAAGAGATCGACAGTGCCGATCGCTTTGCTCAGTCAGTCGAAAAGATTGAGCTACCAAACCAACTGGCAGCTGTGTTGGCGGATCCATTGCTTCAAAAGTTCATTGCCTTGAAGAAAGATGATGCAGCTTCGAAACGTGTCGTCCATTGGATAGACGCCGCTCTCGAAGACGTCCTCAACGGCAACGCCGACGGCAAGCTGTTTAGGGAAACAATGGAGATTCTTGCGGAATATGTGTCGCGCGTCAAGGTGAGTGTTTGCGTATCCCTTGTTTTGGGCTTGTCTGATTGTACAGGAAACCCCATATGTCCTCTTGAACTTCTTTGCCAAACTCTTCACGACATGGAACGGCATGGACGCCCGAGACCCTATCATGAGCATTCTTCAGTACGCGCCGCTGGTGTCGTTTGAAGGTGGGTGTTTCAGGACCATCCCCTCAAGTGCTCGCTGACCGCAAAACGCACAACAGAACTGTACAACTTCATCCTCGAGCCCCTGGAAAAATGCCTCCCCCCTACGCCTGACTCCCAGCTGGCTCTTCTCGGGCTCTATCAGAATATCATCCGCCGCTGGACTTTTGTTCTGCGCTCCCTCGACCAGATACCCAAGGATGCACCCGTCAGCGCCTTTTACGACGTCATGGAGCATGCAAGCATCATTGCCCTCAACCTTGTCCAAGCCTCCCCAAGCGTTGCCGTCCACGGCGGCGTGCTCGACCTCTACGAACAAGCCGCCGCTAGCATATCAGACCCAATCCTCCAGCCCCTGCTCCGCATCGCCAACCCGCCGGCCCAGCTCATCTACCTCCTCTTTTTCAGCCACTCCCTCGCCAATGTGTCGCGCCTGTGCACCGTCCTGGCCACGTACAAGAAGGGATTCGAGACGGCCATGTCTAGGCGCCAGCCGACTACATACGCCCCAAGCTACGTGAACCATTTCAATGGGTTCCTCATGGACATCTGCAACTGCCTCTGGCGCGGCAAGGCCTTCAACGACGGTGACAAGAATGCGCTGGGCTGTCTCAACGCCCGCCCAGTCACCCTGCGCCTGCAGAGGTACGTCGAAGATCTGGGCATGGATCTCGCGCTGCCGACTCTGTTTGGATTCTCATACTCGCCGTTGCTGAGCTTCCAGGCCATCGAGTGCATCCGCGAGCTCGAGGACCGTGAGCAGGCCGCAAACGATGACGCCATCTCCACGCGGCACGCAGGGCCCGTTACTGCCAACAGTTTGGCTAGGTTGGCCGAAGCGCGGGGCCTGCGCATTACGTGGTCGGAGTATAGAATCATCGTACTGCGGGCGCTGGAGAGCAAGGGCCTGGGCGGCATCCCGGCGTTGATGAAGAATACGATGAAGGTGCTCATGAGCTCAAAAAGCGTTGCTTAGGGAAAAGCTTCGCGCAGGCTCTGCTAGGCAATGAGCTTATTACCGGCCTGGGACGGAAATAGTCGTGATACCCCCTTGGAGAAGAGATCCGTAGCATCAAGTACATTTGTATTTCCGGCGTTCGACATCTAAGTCTCTGTCTAGTTGAGTCGACAGTGTTCCTCCACCCGATGTAAACCCCCCCCCCTTTGGTTGAAGACTAGGGTATCTCTAAAGCCGTGGAATCCTAAAAGAAAACAAGCCACCCATGTGGTATGCCCATTGTTGAACAGGTCCATGCAACCAAACGCCGCCGAGATGGCCAGTTGAGAGTGCCCTCCCTCTCTATTCTTCTCTTCTTTTTTGCGTCCGCTTGCCTCTATTCATTCATGAAGCTTTCCTGATATCGTCGTGGTACAAGTTGAAAGACACACCCGTATGGGGTTGACCCAATCATCATCTCATGTTGAAGCAAAAAAACAAAACAAGAAACATCAACGCCGTCCCGAATGCAGTTGAGTGCCGTAGACGCCGTTTTCCCACGCCGGATCCAAGGAAACAATGCAACATGTCGAACCGGATGACCCACAACTACGGCCGCAAGAGAGTGCATCTCTCGATGGCTTTATTTCAGCTTGTCAGACTCGTCGCCGTAGCCTCCATACCCGCCGGCGGAATACGTCTTGCCCTCGGACTCGACGCGCGACTGCGACCTCGGCCCACGGTCCTTCAGGTCCTGGCGCAGCCATCCCAGCACCAGCTCGCCGAGCGTGCTGTTCCCGGTACCACCCTCGACGCCCGCGATGAACTTGCCCGCCGTGTCCCACTCGCGGACGGTGCCGAGGTGCATGTGGACGAGGTGCGTCGGCCAGCCGGCGAGGTTGTCGAGGATGTGGGTCGCGTAGACGATGGTGCAGTCCCGGATCTCCGTCTCGCGGCGCAGCCAGCCCAGAAACTCGGCGCGGCTGAGCACGTCGAGGTCGACGGTGATTTCGTCGAGCAGAAGAATGGTCCAGGGGCGGATGAGGCCCATGGCGAGCTGGACGCGGCGGCGCTCGCCGTCGGAGACGGCGTGCATGCGCCAGGCGGTGTCGATGTCGAGGACGGAGACGAGCTCGTCGCGGCGGTCCGGGTAGGCGTCGCCGCCGACGGAGCGGAGGAGCTCAACGACGCCGATGTCGGTGCGGACGATGGGGTTCAGGACCCATTCGAGGCCGAGGTAGGTGACGCCCTCAAGCCCTTCCTTGAAGGGATCGACGCCGGCGATGGAGATGCCGCCCTGCGGGGCGAGGCGCTTGCCGGCGAGGAGGCGGAGGAGAGTGGTCTTGCCGGCGCCGTTGGCGCCGATGAGGAGGGTGCGCGAGCGCGAGGGCACCGAGAGCGAGATGTTGTTGAGACCGGAGGTGGAGCCCTGGAAGTTGTAGCTGAGGTTGGTCACCTCGATGGTGGGGGTTTCTGAACCATTGTGGGCGTTGTGAGAGGGTTCGACGGTGCGTGAGGAGGTAGGCCAGGAAGGGTGTCAAGAGGGAAGAAGAGAGTGAAGGTATGAGATGCGGTTGTGAGGAAGGAAATTTTATAGAGCACCTAAGAGGGGGGAAAGCAGTCAAGCATCACACCGCCCGCGACTGAAGGCGTCATGACCTGAGCCGACGGCCGCCGGCGGATACCATGGGAGGTCTGGGATGGCCTGGCTAGCAGGGCAGTCGAACACGCGCACGCGCACTCCTGGTTGGTTTACTAGGGACCTTGATCCTATCAGCATTGCACCAGCAGCATCCTGCCCTGCCCAGCCGGGTTGGCCAAGAAAAAATAGTGCCCCTCATTCTCGTTCCAGAGAGGGGATGGTGCACTAGACTGATCGCACGAGGACGGGCAAAGCAACCCCGCCATCGGTGGCTGGACCAGTACCTGAGCCGATCCACCGGGCCGCCCAAGCACCGCGGAATGGCAACACAAGCCACAGCGGGCGGACAGGGAAGACGGGACCCCTCCCGCCCCAACCCCATTTACGCCAAAATTCGCGACTTTTCCAGCCCCAAGTTCGTTCGACGCGTCGGATACATGCGGCATCGTATTCCAGCTTCAACACTTGCCACAGCCATTGACACCGCATGAGAGCTTCTCTGACCTCGGCAACGGCACAACAATAGTTTCCAGTCACCGCAGAACTCAGCAGTCGATCGAAGAAATGGTGACCCTCGAAGAAGCCACCGCGCTTCTGCAAAAGCCGGCGTAAGTCCCAGAACCCCTCGTCTCTCTCTCCCCCGCTTCATCAACTGCTCCAATCTGAGAGGAAGACACCAAAAATCTGACATGTCTTTCCCCTACCCGCAGCGACGCAGCCGCAGCCTCCTCGACCCTCGTTCGCGCCCCCTCGCACTACAAACCCCTCAACACCTTCGCCCTGCCAAAAGAACGCTCGTACCAGCAGCAGTATGCCGACGTCTACTTCCTGCGTCTCACCTCCATCCGGCCCGCCGTTGATGCCGCCGCCGCCGAGGCCTGGGACGGCACCGTCATCGGCGGCGAGGAGGCCAAGCACGTGGACCGTGTTCTTGACGTCCGCCAGGGCGAGCTCTGCTGGGTGACGGGCACCGTCTACATGGACATGGCGCTGAAGCCGAACATCCTCGAGGACGTATCCAAGGATGTACGTCTGTCGCATCCGTACGCAGCAGACCACAACTGACTAGACCGCGCAGCGCTGGATCTCGGCCCCCATCTCCACGGACCGCTACTACTCGGGCGACGATAAAGACATGATCATGCTCGAGGACGACTCAGGTCGCATCCGCCTCGTCGGCGACATCCTCAAGTCCATTCACCTCGTCACCGGCACAATCATCGGCGTCATGGGCTCCGAGAATGCAAACGGCGAGCTCGAGGTCATCGATGTCAAGTTCCCAGACCTCGCCCCGCAACCGTCCCGCTGGACCCTCACCGATAGACCCTCGGAAGACCACGACATGTCCGGCACCTCCACGCCTTCCCAACGGCCCTCGTCGAAAATCGCCATCGTCTCGGGCCTCTCCTTCTCCGGCTTCGACGCCTCCTACGCCCTCGAGCTCTCCCTCCTCCTCGAATTCCTCCTTGGCGAGGCCCTCGCCCCTGCAACTCAATCCTCCGAACTCGCCCACATTTCTCGCCTCATCATTGCAGGAAACTCCATCAACTCCTCCACCTCCACCGCGAACCCGGCTCTGAAGACGGCGCCCGACAACAACGCCACCGGCAAAAAGACGGCGGCTAACAAGAAGTACGGCTACGACGCCAGCGCCTACAACCCCCTCCCCAGCCAGCTCTTTGACGACTTCCTCGCCGACCTGCTCCCCTCCATCCCCGTTACCCTCATGCCCGGCGCCGAGGACCCTGCCAACGCGAGCTACCCGCAGCAGCCCATCCACTCGGCCATGTTCCCGCGCTCGCGGCCCTACTGCGCGGCCCCCGGCGCCAAGGAGCCCGGCTGGTTCGACACCACGACGAACCCCTGGGAGGGCGAGGTCGACGGTTGGAGGGTCCTCGGCACCGGCGGCCAGAACGTCGACGACGTCTTCAAGTACGTCGACAGCGACGACCGGCTCGGCATGATGGAGGCCATGTGCAGGTGGCGCTGCAGCGCGCCCACTGCGCCGGATACGCTTTGTGAGCAGCCCCCTTTCCTCTCCTGAAACATCCCGAGACGCCTGCTAACTTCCACCGAGGGGCCTACCCTTTCCAAGATGACGACCCCTTCGTCATGAAGGACGCCCCCCACCTCTACTTTGTCGGCTGCCAGCCCGAATTCTCCACCAAGGTCATCGAGGGTGGCGACGGCCAGCAGGTCCGACTCATCACCGTGCCGTCCTTTGCGGAGACCAAAGAGCTGGTCCTGGTGGACACGGAAACGCTGGAGGTCTCCAAGGTCAAGATCACCGCGGCAGCCGCGGCAGCATCGTGATGCGCAAGGTGGGGATTGGGCGAAAAAGAGAGAGCGCGTTATTGAGCATCAACAAGGTCATGATTTGATATACCCCCCTGAGCTATGGAATGGAAATAAAGTCGCAGTCATCTAAACTCGAAGAGTGAGTATGAATGCTACCTAACGAATAGGTTCTGAATAAAATGAAAAGCTTTCGCGTAAGGATGCTCCGAGATCCCCGATGCCTGTTGCTGAGACGTTCGGTATGAGATTCCCCTGTCCAACCTCAAGATACGAAAAGACCGAATGTGGTCATCGTTCGACCCCGAAATCTCCTACCACCATGTGCACGCCCGCCAACCGAGACCTAGAAGCAAGTCCCCGTCGCACCAAATGTCAAAGATATCCCGCACTCCTCTCTTCCCAGTTACTGTCCCTAAAAATCGTAAATGTTTTCCTCGTCGCTCTCACTATCGCACCCGCGAGACCCAACAAATCGCCCGTTCGGTCCCTCCCAAATCTTGCGAATCATGACCGACAGCCTCTCGAGGTTCTCCTGCGCCTCGCCCGCCTTCATGCTGCGGTACGCCTGCATGAGCCGATCGTTCTTCCAGAGGTCCTTCTGGCCGCGCTTGGCGCGCCGGATGTGGGCCGCGTACTTCATGTTGAGCCGGATGCGCTCTTGGTTGCCGCCCGTGTTGACGAGGATCTCGATGAACTGGCAGGGCAGCCCCTTGAGAGTGCGGACGACTGCGGACGTCTTCTCGAAGAAATCAAGAAAGCTAATCTCACCTGTATCTAGCTGGCGGATTGGCGTGATCTCGATGGTGATGGTGTGCACGCGGGACCTGATGGGCTTCAGGTTGCGGAAGACGCCAATCGCGTTCGCCATGCTCAGGAGATAGCCCTTGTCAGTGCGGTTCGGCTCGGCAACTATCATGAGCTTGCGGAACTTGTGGCCGTAGCGCCTGATGTCGATCTCGACTTCGGGGTCTTTGGTTGACCGCGCCGCTGGAAGGAGATCGTCCTCGTCATATTCGTCATCGCTGTTGCCTTCATACTCAGAAAGAGGCTCGTCTACCATCAAGGGGTGCTGGACCACGATCTCGTTCTCTCCCAATGTGTTGGTGGCCGGAAGCTTTGCAGTCTCTCTGAGGAGGTAGAGGAACGTGTTCTCACCGTAGAGCACATTCACTGCTTCGTTTCTGACCTGGCGACAGGCTCGTAAGATACTTGTTTCAACCATGGGCCGATTACGCGGGTAGACTGCGGACCAGCCTTGTCGAACTCGGATGGGGTCCTCAACAACCAGGATTTCCTTGTAGATCTTCTGCCGGATCTCAATCGGAAGCTTCATCAAAGGAAAGTGTCGCTCGTCCTCTGGAGTCGCAGAGCCGGCCATTACTGACGAGAGGCCCCCATGACCAGTTTTGGGCTTCGACTGCAAGAAGTTTTCAGGACGGGCCTCTTCCTTTCCCTTTCCCTTGTTGCGGGAAGTTGCTGTCTTCTTCACGGGCTTCTTCGTCTGGGCCTCGGATCGAGATCGGCGGGGAGATAAAAGGGGAGCTCCCCACGTGAGATGGGCAGTCGACTTCTTTGCAAATGACGCACCGTAATCACGCGGCGGAGGAGCCTCACGTACCGTATGATAATCGTGAGTGTCGGTTTCCTTGCTATCTTTGCGTCGTTTCGTAGGTCTAATCGTGCCGTCATCGTTGCTGTCCTCCTCGGCGACGGTTATGCGGTGCTTATGACCTCCGACGATGATCGTAGCCTGAGCTGATCCTGCAGACTTGGGTACCTTGGCCGTGGCGCTTGTCTTTGTCTCCGATGCACTGCCTTTACCCTTGGAAGGATTGACCTTGCTACGAGACGCAGCATTAGAGATCTGCTTCTTTTTGGCCACTCCGGTTTTCTTGCCTGGAGCCATTTTGGAGGGGATGAGGCTGAGAACTGGGCCAGTAAGTAGGGTTTCACTAAGAGTAGTAGGTCGACAGTTGGCAGTACATACCTGGGAAATGATGAGGACGATAAGTATTGAGGTGTTAGGTCAGAGATTCGCCGTAGGCCACTTGGTATATATAAAGCCTCTGCTCTGCGGCTCCCCAGGGTTTGGAATATCGGGACCGAATGTAGCGGATGATAGTCGTCTTTGTCGTCTAGTCAAAGCCGTTCCTTGTTCAATGGAACTCCAACAAGGATCCGGCTCCAATGGAAGCAACGACCTTGATGCGTTTTTGTGTACTTCTTGTGTGGCTCTGAAGTTGAGATATTCTGCAAGCAGTCCCCTTGTCTTCAACGTCTTGGTAGGATTCGGCAAATTATGAAGACGGGCGTTTCTGGGTTCGAAAGATGGGCAAAGCTAAAACACAAAGCCGTCACTTGTAGGAGCCTCCTGCTGCAGTTGTTGGCGGGAAAGACCGGCCTGGAATCAGGTGGGACCGAGATCTTATTGAAAGAAGCGAAAGCCCTTTACTAGAGTACGAAGAGATTCGGTCTGAAAACGTGGCAACAGCCTGACCGTGGAACCGGGTGTCGATGAATGAGATCTGATTGTCGTTACAGACTAACCTTCTGTGACCAGCAGGACATTGGCGATTCTGAATTGCAAACAAGGGAGTCGATGATTATGGCGAGATGAACGGGCGACTATGAGATGGTGGTAGCGAGATGTTACGAGTTGTCAGTGAGGGTATAGCAACCTTATGATGGTGCTCTCGGAGATAGGAAGCTGCGTCCTGTGTTGGCAAGGTTGAGGATGGAAGGAGCACCTCTCTGGTCCTTAGATAGAGAGCGTGTAAAGCACATAAGATTTTCGTTCATCCACTTCAGCTTTTTCGCAGTGTTCTGGTGGGAAGTGTTGAGCGGTAGAGTAAAGGTAGATGAGCTTTCGGAACGAAGAGTTGGCTGGCGAGAGGGGGCTTGGATCCCACCACCCAAGAGATGATCTGGACCAAGTACTGATGTAAACGCAATGCCAAGAGGAAGAAAATAGTAAAAACTTCTTCGGTACGGGTACGAACTAAATATGTAGATTCAGGTGAAAGTTACGAATAGAAAGAGCCAAGTACGAGAGCGTATTCTTGATATGGGTACAAGTCATGACACTGATTGAAAGGCTTTGTTGAGCCTCAATAGGCAGCGACCTGCCGAAATATCTCATCGATGGGTCTTGGCCACAATGGTCTCAATTCCGGTAGCTGACAAATGCCTTGAGCACTCATCATCAATTCGTCCAGACCGTCCGTAGTTTGTCCTCAAAAGCCGTATGTATCACCTCTTGCATTTATAGTCTAACACATCAACAGTGCTCTTGAGAAGCGGAAAGAAAAAAGAAAAGGTCTCGAAGTCCAATCGACGATGGGTACATGGCTGCGCGCGGCGTGGCCCCGGTATCGGGCAGCCCGCATAGCCTGGAGAAGAGGACTGGACTGCCATACATACAGTCCTCATGCCTCGGGCGGGTATCGCCTGAATCTTGTGTCAGTAAATGGAAGCTGTCGAAGCGCAGTGACCACTCAGTGCAGAAACTCGCAGCTAAAAGTTTGCCAAATACATTGTGTCACGAGTACGTCCGTCAATAACAGCATCAAATAGCAGATTAACATGTAATTTGGTATTCATGATGGGCAAAGGCGCTACTGAACATATGTCATTCATCTCCCATAAGATCTAACTCCATGACAGACAACGTGAAAAGTGAAAACTTAACACCCCAAACTCCGTCCCTCGAACGGGGGTAAAGCGTCAATACACGCCTCGGATGCTCCAATCCTTTCGAGTCCGAGTTTCCCTTCGACGAGTTTTGCAAACACATATACACTCTAAAGCGACGCCACAGCCATGCCCCAATTCCATTTAATCGAAACCCTGCTGACGAGATTATGCTTCTGTATATCACTATCTAAACGCGTTGTGATCGCTGTCCTCATTTTAAGCCGTATATATCTCAATCCACGTCATCGTCGTTCTCCGGCTGGTTCATGAACGACGGCGACGTCGGACTGTGCTTCCTCAACACCCCGCTGGCGCCGCTGCGTCCCCAACCGCCGTTGGTGACAAGGTTCAGAGCCCGGTGCTCCGCCGCCGCGGGGTCGTCCACGTCAAGGTCACTGTCTTCGAGGTCGTCCTCCAGCGCGCGGCCGCGCGGGCTGAGCTTCCGCATTGGCATCGAGTCCTGGAACCCGTCGGCATAGAGATTAGGGTCACGCCCCAGCACCCGGTCAGCCTTGGATGGCATCTTACGCGCGCCGTTGGTGTTAGGAGGGGGTGAGGTGAGATAGTGGCGGCCCGCGCCATCCGGCTTGGTGGGTACGTCGCGCATGAAGGTTGGGGGCTCCTCAGTGCCCCAGCCGGCGTTGATTTCGCGGGCACGCTGCTCCTCGCGCTCCCTGGCCAGCTGTTCGCGAGCCGCCAACCACTTGGGACTGGGCTCCCATGACCAGCCGTCGCCCGTGGTGTTGCAGACGGGGACGAACCACAACAAGGGCTTGAGGCCGAAGAGGTGCAGGAGGTTACGTTTTACGCCAAGGTCGAAAGCGTTAGGGAGCTTCTCAGAGTCCTTCTCATCGAGGTACTCTTCGTAGCGCTTCTTCGCGCGCTCGCGTTCCATCTCTTCGTATGAAGCATGCATCGGCCTCGAGCCTCCCGGTTGACCCCGGTATTCCTCGCCCTCCTCTGGTCGTGTGATACCCGGGAGGGCGTTCGCGTGGATGTCAAGGAGCTGCTGCCCGTACGCAGGCAGGGGGATACCCTCGCCGTTGTGTTGGGCGACAAATTGGTGCTGCATCTGCTTCTTCAGTGGTGACAGGTATCGCGTCTTCTCCAGGCACTCGATCGTCGTCTGGCCACGGCTCGCAAGCAGAATGTGCCAGCCAGTGAAGGCGCCCACGACGATGCCAATAATGCCGGCAATAACGCTGAGGATGACATAGTTGATGGGCATCAGCGTCTCAACGTACGTCGTGTTGTTGATGACCTCCATGTATACCCAGCTGCCAGCGACGAAGAAGCTGTAGAAGCAGAAGAGCGTCGTGTAGATCAGGAACAGCAGAAATGCCTTGTGGTTCTTAAGGCCGATGCAGGTCGCCAGCCAAGGGCAGTGATGATCCATTTTCAGGACGCAGCGACGACAGGTCGAGCAGTGATGGGCGCGGTCCGGTTTCCTAGCCTGGCACTTCTTGCAGAATCGCAACTCGCCATTTGACTTGACAGTGAAGGAGGTGGCGGCCGGGGGCGCCTCAGTCGGTAGCGTACTGTAGCCATTATCATTCGTCGTGCTCCCTGGGTTCGTGAAAACGGCGGTGGTATAAGACCAGTTGAGCAGGCCATAGAGGAGGAGGGCGCCGAAGGACGACGCGGAACCTGCGAGGGCATCGTCAGCTGGGGCCGAGGGCGGCATGACGGGGGCGCAGATGCTACTTACCGAGCCAAGAGGCTTTCGAGGGCGCGGACCCAATGGTGACATCCACCCAAACGGCCCAGGTGGTTAAACCATAGACGAAGGTCAGAGGGATGTAGGTTGCGAAGGTGCAACAGCAGCGCTCAACCTTTCGCGCCCAGCGACGAGACATGATTTCGGAGGGCGATTGTGAACAAGCAAAATCCATCCATTCGCTCACACAGAGGAAGAGGAAGGGAAGAGCTAGGAAGACCAATAGGTCATGGCGGTCAGGGACGGGAGAATGCTGGTCGTGGATGAAAAGCGCCCGCGAAATGCTGTGCTGATGGACACGGATAGTCAGGGGAAAGTTAGAGCCAAGCCAGGGACCGGGTGGATTACCTACCTGCACTGTGGATGTTGGGACGCGGCCCTGCCGGTAGGCGCGGACTTATTACGCAGGGAGCTGAGGCTGAGCTGAGCCAGCCCCACTCCGCCCAAGTGCAATGTGGCGGTGTTTTAGTCGCCGTCAATGATCCGCCTTCCCGCCCGTGTTCCGCGTTTCGGTGAGGTTCAGTGGACACCATCCGGGGTCGCAAACCAGCGGGCCGTTTGCTCCGCACCGGCTAGGATGTGGACATACTTTGATAAGCACAAACAAGCAGCAGATGCTAGTCACTATACAACATTTTTCATATCATTTGCGATTGATTTTGCCGATGCCGCGGCGGCTATACGTGCAAAGACGAGAAAAATACGTCAACCGTAACTTTTTCGAATAAGCAAGTCTGGCTATTGTGCCTGCCCAACACGGTCCTAATGATTCCATCCCAGACGCCTGCCAGCATAGACAAACCCGCCTTCTATAGAGACGGAAAAGCAATGTAAAACAATTCTTGGCCCGAACGCAGGACTGATAGCTCAAAGGCCACCAAGTCTGCAGTTTGATCACCGGTCACCTCTGCTGTTCATACATATCGTTCTGATAGTGAAGCTTCAGGAGGACTTAACCTTTAATCCTCCCGGCCCTCGATCACCATTCCGATGGCGTTGGGTACTCCGACTAAGACTTTGCCTCGCGGCACCTTGACATCTTTGACCTTCATGCAACCAAAGACGTTGATCTCTCGAATGTTAGGACAGCTCCGGAAAATGCGACCAAGGACAAAGTCGTCGACGTCTTCAATGAAACTGATCTCGAGCTTAAGGAGATGAGGATACTGGTTGTCTTTGGCAAAGACGTCCTCGAATGCCTCGCGCTTGATATGGCGACACGCGTGGATATTCAGGTTCTTGAGTTTGCCACCCGAGTGCTTCATAAGGGCACGGAAACCGTCCGAGCAGAGACCGACCCCGTCCGGGTTGTCCCGAGGGTTGGTGGACTCAAGATGGCGGCACTTCTGGAAGTCAATGATCTCGATCGCAGGGTTTTCCCAGTCGGTGAACAAGTCGACAAAACCTTCGTCGGTCATGTTCTCGCTGTCGGTGATGCGGAGCTTTCTGAGGGATCGACAGGTGTTTTTGATGGCAGTCAAAACCTCATCGTTGGCCTTGGGCATCTTTCTCAAAGACAGCGTTTCGAGCTTCAGTCCCGCACCATGTATCATGTGAGACATGCTTTTGGGACTGATATCGTGCTGCAAATGAAGACCAAGATGTTTCAGAGTCTTGATGTCGCCAATTGCTTTGACGCCGACGTTCGTGACCTTCTGGTTGTGGTAGACTTTGAGACGATTCAGCTTGGGGCAGTTAGCCGGGAGCTGGGCGAGCATCTCGTCCCCAAAGTGTTTGTCCGTGTAATAGACCTGGATGCCTTCCAGGTCAGCACCTTTGTTCGAGACAAACATGGACCAGCTCTTATCGCTAAGCAAGTTGGCGCCGTGGATGTTGAAGGACAGGAGCTTGGTGTCGCGACTCAAGAGGTAGTCCATGACCTCGTCCTTGAACTGGATGGCATTGCGCGCCTTGAAATGCTGGAGGTTGCTTGAGGTTTGGAAGATGCCCTCAAAGTCGCTGGAGCCCAACCTGGCGCCGTCATAGATCTTGACAGTTGTAGTCGATGGTTGCACGAATAGTGGAAGCGTCTCCGGAGTGAGCAGTCGACGCTTAGAAAAGAGCCGAGCAATCTTATCGACAACCTTGTCCGGCAGATCACCCAAGCTATCGGCAAGGTCAACGTTTTTGGCCAACGTCTCGATGCAAAGGGTCGTCAAATTCTTAGCACCGGTCTGGTATGTGCCGTCGAGGATGTTACTTTGAACCTTGCGGCGGCTGCCCTGGCCGCCGACTGACTTGCGAGGCTTCTTCGCGTCCTTTCCCTTCTTTGCAGCATGGTCCTTGCTGCACTGGGCGCAAAGAAGACCGCCTTCGGGTCCACTGAGAGAATAGGCCGTAACGGTGAAACGTTTCTTGCAGATAGCGCAGTTGTCCATCTGACCTGGCATAGGCTTCGCTCTCTGGTCAAAGATGGCGCGGGCAATGTCGTCTTCGTCCTCGGAATCGTCGGCAAGGCGCTTCCGCTTCTTGAAGGCCTTGGAAGCCTTGATCTTGGCAAGCGCCTGCTGCTCCTTTTTCTTGCGTTTCTCTCTCTCAGCTTTAGTTTCGTTGCGGGCGCTCTCAGTGACCTCGGTGGGCTCAATCGAGGGACCGGCTTCCTCTTCCTCATCGTCATTACCCCCCTGGGCCTCACGGCTCCTGGCGGCAGCGGCACGGCGCTGGTCAGCGTCGCGACGGATCTGATTCGCAGAGATGTTGTGGGACTGTGGAATGGTGGTCAGTATACAAAGATGAACATGGCTCATGAAGGGAGCTCACGGCAAGGTAGTCGGTCAAAGCCGATTGTCTATAATCACGTCAGTTAGTCATGAGACGCAGCGCGGCTGATTTTCAAATACTCACGGTCCCGAGATGTGTCGGGCAGGACGGTTAGTGCCTTGCGCCTGGTTCTGCGGAGTAGCTTGATCTTGCTGGGAGTCTTGGTTTTGCTGGGTAGGCTGTGCCTGGTCCTGGTTTTGGCCTTGTGCCTGAGCCTGAGCTCGCTGGCGAGTCGGACGTGCCATGTTGAAGTCGTCGATGATGTCTGTTCTTGGTGTGTTTTATCTTGTGGAATCTATGTCTTGAAAGACCATGGTTTTCCCCCCTTTCTCTCACTCTTAGAGTCGCTTGCCGTGATGAAGCGCAACGGTAACCCTAACAAGGAAAGAATTAGAGTACTCCTCAGACCGAGGAAACCCGTGTCGACTCGTCGTGGCAAATGGATCGATTTACAGGCAAGGGACTGCAGGGGGTAGGAGTGAAGTTAACCAACCTTGAGACCGATAACGAGATGAAATTAGCTCTCAGCTTGCACACTCTCTGAATTGGATGGGGCGAGAGGGGGGGAGGGGGTGACGATTTAGAAAACAACAGCTCCAAGCGAGCTTAGGCGATTCGACTATGTCGCGATGAGTTGCTTGGGGGCAAATTGGCAAGAGGCGACAAAGGCTTGCTTGAATGGAGGTGGAGACGTATCTTTGCTCTGTTGTGAGGAGCTCTGCCTGCTTTTAGTCCCAGACAACTAAGACGAGACCAGATCCCTGGCTGCTTTGGGAATGAACATGCTGCTGCACTGTGCTATTGATCGCTAATCTGCCTGTCGCAGTGGTGCTGGGTCGATGGTGCAGTGAAAACACACCGTGTGAAGACCCTGCGCATAAATGATAGGAACTGTACATTGGGCCAGGCAGCTGCCAGGGGTTTAATTGAAGTGGGGCGAGTAAGTCAACGGGAATGCGTGGGCAGGTACAGCTACTGGTGGGAAGGAGCCACTACACCGGAGACTTCGGGGACTGGATCGATCGCCCCAAATCGAATTGTCACACTAGAGATGAGATCAGCCATCCCCTTGTGTGACAATGAGTCTTCACCTGGATGTTGTTCCTAACCTTCCACCATTCCACATGGTTGCGACACAATCAGATCGCAGGATTTTCTCATGAACTGAAGGCAGTTTTCGCAGTTCAATTAAGGGTAACAGCGCCAGCGTCATAAAGATAAGCTAGGTAGTTGCATCCCCTCCATATGCAGCATGTCAAAGTGGTTACATCAACTGCATCAAAAGCACCTATTCAGTGTCCCTGGGGAACCAGCTAACAAACTTTTTTTGCCTCTAAGGTACCTTACCTAGGCAGTCGCCCCTGCGTCTGGCGTCTTCCCCAGGCGCCTTCTGTCCATGACAAAGAGATCATGTGACTTCGTGTGCAGAGCCCGCCAGTGAAAGGCGCGTCTCAGTGTCCCTCCTTCCTTCCCTCTTGTCTAGCCTTCTCAGCTCGCCCGCCCAAAAAGGAGTTCCTGGTGGCAACAAGACTGGTTCTTTCCCTGACCTTTCAACCACCACTTGGCTTTTCTTTTTTTTCCCCATCCTGTTTTTTTCCCTCATCCATATCTCGCCCCTCCAGAACGCACCTTTTGCCTACACCTAAAGCCCAGCTTGGTCCGGTAATTCCTCTTTTTCCATCCCACTGCGACCCCTATCTCCCCCTCCTTAGAGTGCACAGTCTAGATGCTGCTTCGGCGATAAGCTGAGACTGTTCGCCACCACTTGCCGAGCTTTGTCCCGGGGCATCCCAACTTTCTCTACTTTCACTCCAAGCGATAACAAACTTTCGTCTCTGTGAACCGCAGACCCTGAGAGGACGTTTTTCCCCCTTATCCTCTCAATCCCGAGGGCACGATTCAACAAGTTCATCTTCAGCCAGACTCACGAACACCGCCAAAAATGACTGGCCGCCGTGCTCGTGCTGCTCTCGCTGCAGGTGAGAGCTTGGCTTCCACCCGAAGCAGTAAGTAATCAGTCAATTCGTGCGACAATCCACCCATTCTTTTTCAAGTCGATGGGGAAAGTGGCTACAATGGACATCAATTTAACACTATCCAGACTCACCCGACGCTACCCCTCTCACGGGTACAGGCCGCCGCCTCACCAGGTCTGCTTCGGCCAAGAACCTTGCAGCGCCGGCTCAGCCTGCCATTTCAACCCCTTCCATCGCGAAGAGAGGCAGAGGCCGACCTAGCAAGGCCTCTTCACTCGCCAATGATTCGACTTCCTCAGCTCCCTCTGCTGCTGCATCTGCCGACTTCACCTCAGCGAGCGAGGACTCTACCCCGGCAACTAGTAATGTCGCCACACCCGCTCCGTCCATCGCCGCAGATGGTCTAAGGCCTCGGAAGTCGGCCTCCAAGATTGAGATCCAGCTCCCTACCGCTGCTGGGCTGCAGAGCGAGCGCGCTCTGCGTCGGAGCCAGTACTCCATGGCACCCATCAAGCGTAAGCGATCTGAGGCTGGGGATAGCAATGACGATGATGACGAAGAGTATTCCGACAATGATCGCGATGCCATCGTCGCTCGTCGTTTACAGAAGGAGGAGAACCGTAAGGCTGCTACGACTACTCGACTTTCAGATGCCGACCTTGCTAGACGTCTGCAGGAGGAGGAGTACGAGATGGAAGAATCCGATGCTCCCATCGCTACTCAACGCGGTCGACGCAATCCGACTTCTACCAAGACTCTTATCGCTGACAGTGACGACGAAATGTCGGAAGACATGCCCCTTGCTGCTCGAGCCAAAGCTGGCGGTCGCCAACGGGGCAGACCTGCCAAGAACAACACCTCTGTTGCGCCGCGACCCACAAAGAAGCAAAAGAAGGTGCTTTTTGACTCTGGCGATGAAGATGAACTGGCTGAAACCATTCACGATGACGAGCAGGAGGTTGGTGACTTTGACCTCTCGTCGGATAACGAACTCGACGAGAATCCCAAGAAATCATCAACCAAGGGCAAGGAGCCTATCAGAAGGACTAGAAACACCGCTTCCTCTTCGGCTCAGCCCCCTGCAGCGCTTGAGGAGCTTGCTGATGATGATGATGACGACTTATCGAGCCTTTCGAGCTTCCTCTCCGATGCCACCGACGTTACTGATGCCGCCTCGGCTGTCTCGACAGCGTCGGATAGTGACGGACGCCGCCAGAACGCCGTTGCCAGGCAGTCCCGCGGACGACGTGCTTACCAACGTGGCTCCAAGCGACGAGGTCAGCTCGAGCGTGACAGATTAGTGCACCATCACCCCGAGCTTCTGACCATGTGGCAGGAGCTCGAGGCTTTGCCGCCTCTGAGACCCGAGAAGATTGCACAGCCCAAGCAAATCTCACGCCAGCTCAAACCCTTCCAGCTCCAGGGTGTTGCGTGGATGATTGCCATGGAGCAGACCGAATACAAAGGTGGCCTCCTCGGCGATGAGATGGGCCTCGGCAAGACCATTCAAGCGGTCTCCCTGATCATGTCCGATTTCCCCTCCAAGAAACCGTCTCTGGTCTTGGTTCCGCCCGTCGCGCTGATGCAGTGGCAGTCGGAAATTGCCGCCTACACTGACGGCACGCTCAAGACGTTCGTCTATCATGGTTCCTTGTCCAAGGCAAAAAATGTAACTCTGAAGGATCTCAAGAAGTTCGATGTCATCATGATGTCTTACAACAGTCTGGAGTCTATGTATCGCAAACAAGAGAAGGGCTTCACCCGCAAGGACGGCATCTACAAGGAGAAGAGTCTGATTCACCAGATTGAGTTCCATCGCATCATCCTTGACGAGGCCCACAGCATCAAGACTCGAACCACCATGACGGCAAAGGCCTGCTTCGGTCTCAAGACCGACTTCAGATGGTGCTTGACCGGCACCCCGTTGCAGAACCGCATTGGAGAATTCTTCTCCTTGATTCGCTTCCTCCAGGTTAAGCCCTTTGCATCGTACTTCTGCAAGCAGTGCCCTTGCGCCAGCTTGGACTGGGACCTTGACGATGACCATCGATGCCGCAAGTGCCACCATGCCGGCATGCAGCATGCTTCCGTATTCAACCAAGAGCTGCTGACTCCCATTCAGAAGTGGGGCAATAGGGGAGAAGGCGCAGATGCCTTCCGGAAGCTTCGTACGATGACCGACCGCATTATGCTTCGCCGTCTGAAGAAAGATCACACCGATTCCATGGAGCTCCCCGTCAAGGAGATCTACGTTGATCGCCAATTTTTCGGCGAAGTGGAGAACGACTTTGCGAACAGCATCATGACGAACGGCCAGCGCAAGTTCGATACTTACGTCGCTCAGGGTGTGTTGCTCAACAACTATGCCAACATCTTCGGTCTCATCATGCAGATGCGACAGGTTGCCGATCATCCTGATCTGATCCTACGGAAGAATGGTGAGGGCGGTCAGAACACACTCATGTGCAACTTGTGCGACGAAGTCGCCGAGGATTGCATCAGGAGCCGTTGCAAGCATGATTTCTGTCGCGCCTGTGCCAGAACCTGGCTCGCGGCTAACGATCAACCCGACTGCCCCAAGTGCCATATCCTATTAGCCATCGACTTGGAGCAGCCCGAGATCGAGCAGAACGAGGCCGACGTGAAAAAGTCGTCGATTATCAATCGAATCAAGATGGAGGAGTGGACCTCGTCGTCCAAGATTGAACTTCTCGTCCATGAACTTCATAAGCTCCGTTCCGACAACGCGTCTCACAAGTCCATCATCTTCTCGCAGTTCTCTTCCATGCTTCAGCTCATTGAATGGCGTCTCCGTCGTGCCGGCATCACCACTGTCATGCTGGACGGCAGCATGAACCCTGCACAGCGTCAAGCATCCATCAACCACTTCATGACAAAGACCGACTGCGAGTGTTTCCTTGTATCTCTCAAGGCTGGCGGTGTGGCCCTGAATCTCACAGAAGCTTCGCGCGTCTTCATTGTTGACCCGTAAGTCGTCCATGTGTTTCATTGTCCGAGGAAGGCTAACAAAATCACAGCTGGTGGAACCCTGCGGCCGAGTGGCAGTCTGCTGATCGCTGCCACCGCATCGGCCAGACGCGCCCTTGCACCATCACCCGTCTCTGCATTGAGGATTCTGTCGAGAGCCGCATGGTTCTGATTCAGGAGAAGAAGACCAACATGATCAACTCCACTGTCAATGCCGACGACAAGGCCATGGAGTCCCTGAGCCCCGAGGACATGCAGTTCCTCTTCCGTGGATCTTAAGCTTGTCGGCCAGCGACATTTTTCATAACAATAGTTGTTGTGGTTTGTTGGCAGCGTTGAGGACAGAAGAGGATACGCATTGGGGCCTTGACCCGGCCCTCCATGGAGTTGGGCGTACGTCACGTTCTTATTATACCCCTTATTGCGGCGGCATTATAGCCGCGATTACGGACGGCCACGTTTCGATGTAGAGTATGATAGTTCCACTGTTGCTTTTTAGAGAGAGTCGGCTTCGCCTAGTTAGCTCTACATTGCTCAAGGAACCTGGACCTCGGCTCCAGCTTGTTATTGTTATGGAGCAGAGATTAGTCGTTCCGGTTGCAACATGAGTGAACCATTAGACGTCAAACAACACTGGCTATTCCCCACGTGTTGCTGGCTACCTGCCATAATAACTGCAGTACATTGTCATCAAGACCCACAGCCTCAGTCAGGTACACTGAGGTGGTTCGTTGGATGAAGGCATATCCTGGCCCAATTGCTACACTTAATATATACGGCACGCGGGCCATGCCTATTTCAGCACGTGGAAAGTAGCATCCATCAGCTGCCTATTCAAGGTCCTCGATCGGGGGTGCGCAGTGTGGTTGCGAGTCAGTCGCCTGGCTTCGGACCCCGAACTGGGTGGTGGGGACGATTTGCAAGGTCTCTGATACCGTCGTCACAGTACCATTGGGGGAGGGGGGTTGTCATGGTTAGATCACACAGAGTCGTAGTAGACGATGGTAGGTTGAACGTCAGACGTTGGTGTAAATTAACTACTATATAATTATGTACGTGAATGAAAATGGGAATGCGCACGACATGTCCCTGGCAATGAGGACGCTGCACATCCCTGGTCCCGCCATCCTTCTGTGATATCCTCTTGACGCCTCTCTCAAGACAACCAAGAAAAAACCTCCAGAAGCCCGCTCCTGCCTTCATAGGATAATGATAATCCCTGCCCCGAATTCGTAAAATGACATCTCGAGTCCCGTTGCCTAAGCCTTCCCCAGAGTCTCGGCAAACTCAATGTCCTGCTGGACCCAGGCCGTGAGGCGCGCGGAGAGGTCCTCATCCGAAATCTCCTCCTCTCTCTCGCGAAACTCGAAGCCTTCGGTGTTGCAGGCGCCGGTCTTGCGGAAGTAGTACTTGTGAGCGTCAACGTTGAGTCCAAAGGTGCCGCCGTTGCACTTGGTGTTGGCGTCGCCCTCGCAAATCTTGATGTCGGCGATGGTGTAGTTAACTGTGGTGGCGCTGCCGGTGGACAGCCAGTACTCGGGGCTAGTGTGGCGGTAGCCGAGAAAGATCGGGGGCAGACGGGGGACGGGGTCGTCAACATGGGTAATGCGGTACTCGGCGCCGGGCTGGACGGTGACAAAGTTGACAAAGGCGTCGTTGCCGACGCGGGGGCAGCCGTAGGTGTAGAGGTCAACAGGGTAGCCATCGAGGCGGAGGTTGGCGGCGGCAATGGTAGCGATAGCACCGCCGAGAGAGTGGCCAGTCGCGATGATGGAGTAGCTGGGGTTGGCGGCCTTGGCGGACTTGACCGAGGCCAAGAGATTGTCCTTAACCTCATCCCAGGCGTTAGAGAAGCCAGAGTGAATCTTGCAGTCGTCGACGAGGTCACAGTCCTCGAGGCCGAAGAGGAGGTTGGTGATCCAGTTGCGAACGTTGCTGGAGCCACGAATGGCAATGACAACGTTCTTCCTCACGGGATCCGTGGCAACGAAGCCCTCGAGGCCAGAAATGGAGCCGCTAGTTCGTGTCAGCTCTGACTGGAAAACGGCGACTGTATGCTTACGAGAAGGTGCCAACAATCTTTCCACCGTTGGTCTCAACATCAGGGCAGGCATCCGCACCGCAGGTAATGGAGGCACCTGCGGCGGCGTCACTGTTGCAAGAGGTTGCTGCAACCATCTGGACATAGTACTCGAAGTTGGACAGGTCGGCGTTCGTCACCGTCACAGCTATACAAGTCAGCGGTGATAGCAAACACTTTGAGGAGTATTCTTACCTCTCCCGTCAAGGACAGCCACCGGGGCACTTGCATCCAAGAGGGGAGATGCCGAGACTGCGGCAGACAGCAGAGGGAGAAGAGACAGCTTGGCCAACATGATGACGACGGGCAGGACAACTCAAGACAACTCAAGACAACAACAAGGGCGGAACTCGAGGACTCGCTCGTAAGGCACAACAAACAGAGAAGTGAACAAACATGTTGTCCCCGCGCAGCCACAAGGTCTTATACATTGCAGAAACAGCAACATGGTTATAAAGAGAGTGGATCTTGGCCGACTCGTGGCTCATGAAACACCGTGGGGGCTCTGGTGAGAGTCCACCGTCCATCCATTCTCACCTTGAGCGTTTGCTAGGAGAGGTTGGAGGCCGGCAGCAAACCAAACTTTGTGCGTGCTGGCGGGGACGGGAGTCTGGCACTAGAGCAAACAATCCGCAAGACCTTGTCTCTTCTGGCAGTCTCTCCGCATCCAAGATCCATTCCGTCAGGCACAAAACAGTGGAAATCGGCACTAGAAGCGGCAGCCGCATACGAGAGAGATGCGCCTTTGGGAGGGAGGAGTTCCTTCTGCAAGGGCCAAGCTCAAGAGGGAGGTGGAGGCAATGCGGGATTGACGGACAGCTTTGGCCATTGGGTGGCTTCGGCGGAGGAGTATGTGACCTTGTCCCAGTCGAGATGGGCGTGTCCTATAGTATCACCAGATACAGCCATACGGAATGAACGGCACCCACGGTGTCTTGAAGGAGACGATGTGCCTTACATCAGACCAACCATACTGTGCAGAATGGATAACGGTGTGATGAGCCATGGCACCTATAGTGCTCCAGACAAGGTTCAGAGAGTCAGAGCAGAGCAGGTGGGGTGGCAGAGACCAGAAAGTCAGGGCTGTCAACGTGGTGTCGGGCGAAGTGTGAGATTCTTGGGTGTCACTAGGCGCCACGTGAGCGAACCATCTTCATAGTAGGCTTGCCGCTCATTGAACGGCGTCGATTGACTGGTGGTCCCTGCGCAGCACTGAGCAAGGGTGCTGCTTGGCAGATTCCACTTCTGTTGAGCTTTGCCGAAACAATAGCGCCTAAATCCGTAGAAGCTGATGGTCAAGCTGGGCGGCTGACTCTTGTCCGGACGACGAACTGGCAGTCAATCGCATTTGCCCGCGGTTCGTTACCCCTGCTGCAGTCCCTGCGCAAGGCCCGCCGAAGCTCAACAAAATGTCGCGATGGGTGCGATTTGAGATTCGAGATTTCGCATGTTTCCGCCCAGGACCCTGTCCGAGGACTGGATGTGGAAGATGCACTCGACATCACGCGTGACGATACGCGGCCGCTGAAGGTGGAGAGAGCCTTTCGTGGAACCTATCACGCGCGCGAGGGCTTGCCGTGCCTTGCCAGCTTCACCGGTTTGAGTAAGGAGATCGGCCGGCCGGCCGGGCAAGAAGGTTCAGGCAAAGATGACGAACTGCCAAATACGGTTGCATCCGAAAGAAACAGAAAATAAAAAAGAAACAGAAAACATGTGGATGTGATCAAGATAGCAAGATGCAGCTAGGATGGATGGAGAATGCAACCTAATGTGAGACAGAGGCACGGGGAAGGAGTTCAAAGTTTCCCAGGATGTAAACAAGATGTAGGTAGAGGCAGTGAGTGTTATGTCATGCTGCTTCCTGCCGATTGATCTTGCAGCGAGGTGCCGCTTCTCCCTTCCTCGGCTCATGCCATCCATTTTCATGGCGTCCTTTCCAACCAAGGTCGGTGATCCCTTCCTCCTTTTGTGCACCATGGGTAGTGTAGGTTCTGTGCCTCTCTCTGTACAGGTACCCTCCCCCACCTGTTGTCCTTTTCGCCCTTTCGGTGCCTGTCGCTCGCTTACGGCATACCTATACCTTACCAAACCCAGGATGGGGCAACGCGGGGACCAGGCATTCTAGAAGGCGTGCAGTCCGCGACTCGGGGAGCAGGACCTTCGCTTGCTTGCCATTCCGTCCGCTTCCCTTTGGAATCCGCGAAAGCTCGCTCGTCGCGCAGCAAATCGTTCACATTGTCGCCCTCGGTTGCACAACCCCTCCTCCTTTCCAACTTCATCAACCATGGCCCCTCGATTCCTTACACCCACCCACTCATGGCCGTCGCTCTGATGGTTGTTGTTATCCCGCGCAAATTCTGATGAGTTCTTTCCGTCATCCAATTCCCGGACCCCATGCAGTTGTGGCAGTCAACAGCCGGAATCTGAGCTGCGCCATCCCTGTCCCCTGTCTTCGATATCCACCGCTGGTCCGAGTTGGGAGTCCCGACCGCCTGGGGCTCTTCGTTTGTGGGCATCCTAGTCTGAAGAGAGCCCACGATCCGATCTTGTCGGCTTGAGAGCCCTTGGAAAGCATCACAAGGCCAAGCCTCTGCCACCACTAAGCTGGCACACCCATATGCACGCTGTATGCACGCTTTCAAGGAAACTGGCAACCACGCGCCCAATCCATCTGACGGCGCTTCCTCATCTCGGGGCCGAGCCGGTTGGGACAGGTTTTGACTGACCGCTCGAGGCTCGTCACACGTTCGCACCACCATCTGTCATGCACACGACAAGGGACATCTCCTCAATTCGTTCCCCATCCCACCTCTGATCGGATATGTCGACATTTACAGGTATCACACCCGTCTTGTCGACCCTCTGGGCTTTGGTCGTGGAGCGCCTCCAGGGGTTTATCTCTCGATATCCACCCTTTTTCTCAACGCCCTCGAACGCCCTCGAACGCGCCCGGCTGGCATTTTCCCGGCAATGTCTACGAATGCCGTCGCCTAACTCGCTCTTTCTGGTCTACACCACCTCCCTCTTGACTTGCCTCGCCCGAGGCGAGGCGATCGTGGCAGTTTTCGGTTCTTGACCCGAGTCGACACGAGCTAAGGCTACAATGTAGAACGCCGTCAATCCTCCTGGCATTCCCCCGCCTTTTGCTCATTCTGTCGTCTTCACCTCTTTTGGTCTACGCGACATGCAGATCAGCCATCCGATCACACAGCTTCGACAGGCATAGGCCTAGATGAGCTAGCCCAACTAACTAGAAAGTGCAACCCGCAACCCTGATATGCTGCAATAGTACACGATCGCGTGCCTAACAGACCCTTTCGGATGTGGTCAACATATCATGAATCGTCTGCTATTTGTACGCATATCCTTGCGGCCGCTATAGCTCATGTGCCTGCCGAGCACTTCGCTTGTTGGCACTTGCTTCTCATACCACTCTGTCTCTAAACCCGTGATTCGGCTTTTGAGCCAATGTGAGGGGTGTGGCGCCGACGATGCATTAGTTCCCGTGCCTATATAAGAATGTGGTGCTCGCGGTGTCTTGCAGCAGTTATTGATCGTCCGCCTACGTTGACTTTGTGCGATCGTAATACGTCTCTTTCCGGGCTCAGTCCTTCCTCGAATGCAGCTGTAAGTAGTGTCGAGGACCTATCAACATCATGGCGAGCACAGTCTCCGTCAAGTCTCTCGCCATAACCCTCCTCGCCAGTCACGTTTCCTTGTGCGACGGCGCCGTGATAAATGCCAGATCCGATGTGCCTCCTGGATATGTTGCCGCGCCCTATTACCCAGCGCCGTACGGCGGTTGGACGTCGGACTGGTCAGACAGCTATAGGAGAGCCAAAGAAGTCGTCGACAGGATGACCCTAGCTGAGAAGACGAACATCACCTCTGGAACTGGCATCTACATGGGTAAGACTATGGTCTGTGACATACATTGCGTACAACCAACTAACACACTTTAGGGTATGTCTTGATCGACCATTTGGCCAACTCGTGCTAACTAGGCCAAGCCGTTGCGTTGGAAACTCCGGCAGCGCCCTCCGCGTCGGCATCCCTCAGCTATGCCTCGCAGACTCGGCAACCGGCGTTCGTCAAGCCGACAACGTTACTGTGTTCCCGTCAGGCATCACAACCGGCGCCACTTTTGACAAGGACTTGATGTACGCCAGAGCTGTTGCTATGGGTAAGGAGTTCCGGGGCAAAGGCGCCCACGTATATCTGGGGCCGTGCGTGGGACCTATCGGCAGGAAGCCTAGGTTGGTAGATGCAGTCGGAGACGTACGGACACGATACTGACCAAGAATAGGGGTGGACGAAACTGGGAGGGCTTCGGATCCGATCCCGTCTTGCAGGGGAAGGCTGCTGCGCTGACGATCAAGGGCGTTCAGGAGCAGGGCGTCATCGCCACAATCAAGCATCTTGTGGGCAACGAGCAAGAAATGTATCGCATGTACAACCCTTTGCAGCAGGGCTACAGTGCCAACATCGGTGAGTCCCATCTCGTGCGAGCGAGGCGTTCGGCCACTAACCGAGCAGATGATCGAACGCTCCATGAGCTGTATCTCTGGCCTTTCGCAGACGGTGTGCGGGAAGGCGTAGGCTCCGTCATGACGGCCTACAACGCGGTATGTACTGAATCTTTTTCTTCTCTGTTTTAACATCTTCGGCTGACGCGTTGCAAGGTCAACGGTTCAGCCTCTAGTCAGAACAGCTACTTGATCAACGGTATCTTGAAAGACGAACTTGGCTTCCAAGGATTCGTCATGAGTGACTGGCTCTCGCACATGTCCGGTGTCGGCTCTGCCCTTGCCGGTCTCGACTTCAACGCCCCGGGCGACCAGCAGGTGCCACTGACAGGATACAGCTACTGGATGTACGATCTCACCAGAGCCGTGCTGAACGGATCTGTCCCTGTGGACCGCATCAATGACATGGCCACCAGAGTCCTAGCAGCATGGTATCAGATGGGCCAAGATGAGGGCTTTCCCGCTACCAACTGGGCCACAGGAACCCGTGACAGGGTGGGAGACCTTTATCCCGCAGCGTGGCCCTTCTCCCCGAGCGGCGTCGTCAACGAGTTCGTCCAAGTACAGGACAATCACTACCTCGTTGCCAGACAGGTCGCACAGGAAGCCATCACCTTGCTCAAGAATAACGGCAGCCTTCTGCCCATCACCACTTCAGCACCGATCAAGATCTTTGGCACCGACGCTCAGACAAACCCCGACGGACCCAATGCTTGTGTAGATAGGTCCTGCAACAAGGGCCTTCTCGGAATTGGTTGGGGCTCGGGAACGGTCGACTACGAGTATCTGGACGACCCGCTCACAGCCTTCAAGAAGAGGGCCGGCAACGTGGTGTACTACAGCACAGACTCTTTCCCGTCGGTCCCGGCTCCGACGGCGGATGATGTGGCGTTTGTTTTCATCTCCTCTGACGCTGGCGAGAATTCGTACACGGTAGAGGGCAACAACGGAGATCGCAGTGCCTCCGGTCTCGATGCCTGGCACAACGGCAACAAGCTCGTCAAGGATGCTGCCGCCAAGTACCAAAATGTCGTGGTAGTCATCCACACGGTTGGACCGATTCTCGTGGATGAGTGGATTGACCTCCCCAGCGTCAAGTCGGTCCTCGTGGCCCATTTACCTGGCCAGGAGGCGGGAGAGTCTCTTGCCAATGTCGTTTTTGGAGACGCGTCCCCCTCTGGCCACCTTCCATACAGCATGACCAAGAAGGAATCCGATCTGCCTGCATCTGTCACCCAGCTGGTCGGGGGGTCTCTTTTCGGCCAACCCCAAGACACTTACTCTGAAGGCCTCTACATCGACTACCGCTACCTCAACAAGAACAGCATCAAGCCGCGCTTCGCCTTCGGTCACGGATTGAGCTACACAAACTTCTCCTTCTCTGACGCAACCATCAGCTCCGTAACACCCCTAAGCGTCTCACCGCCAGCCCGCCCAGCCAAGCAGGGCATCCTCACGTACGATGCCCCCATCCCCGACTGGACTGAGGGCGTGGCGCCAGCCGGCTTCAACAAGATCTTCAGGTATATCTACTCCTGGTGCACCGAGTCCGAGGCCAAAGATGCCGTTGCTGCATCCAAGTCGAAGACGTACCCTTACCCAGAGGGCTACAGCACCACTCAGAAGACTGGCCCCCCCGCCGGCGGCGCCCAGGGAGGAAACCCAGCGCTCTTCGACGTAGCATTTACCGTCTCAGTCAAAGTGACCAATACGGGCGCGAAGTACTCGGGCAAGGCCTCGGCACAGGCGTATGTACAGTTCCCCGACGGCGGGCCCGAGACTCCCGTGATCCAGCTGCGAGACTTTGAGAAGACAAAGAACCTGGCGCCTGGGGAAAGCACAACGGTGACGCTGGAGCTGACGAGGAGGGATGTGAGCGTTTGGGATGTGGTCAGCCAGAACTGGGTCGTGCCGAACCCGACGGGCAGGTACAAGATCTGGATTGGGGAGGCGAGTGACAAGTTGTTCTTGGCGTGTTACACAGACTCTGGGGACTGTGAGGAAGGACTCGAGAGCCCCGTCTAGTTTCTGTTGGGAGTGGTCAACATCAACCTCAAGCAAGGCAACCTTGTCTTTCGACTCAATTTTGGTTTTCACTCATCCAATGAGTCGCAAAAACTCTCGTTTAGTACAAGGTGAACAATACAAATATCAATCGGCAGGCATCTCGTATGAGTCGGGCAGAATATTGGTAAACCTTTGACATCCTTCTGACGAAACCTTTCGCCTGCTAGACTACTAACCTCTTCAGCTTTGAGAACGCAAACAGTCTCGCAAACAGGCTAGAAGTGAACCCCAAGACACAGAGTCCAAACAACCTACCCAAGCATCATCACCATGCCATCCTTGATGGCATCGATCTCCTTCTTCCCCAGTGGGTCCTTCTTGCTGAATGCGTGCTTCTTCCGTTCCGCGCTTGACCAAGACGTGATGTCAAGATCGTCACCGCCAATCTTCTTCTTACTCTTGTACTCGGAAAGCGCCGCGGCCCAGCCCCAGGGGTCCTCGCCGTGCCCTTCCGCGGTAGGCAGCTCGACACCATCGTCCACGTCCTTCAGCAATTCCTTGAGCCCGGGGACGCCGCGCAGCGTGATGCCGTGCTTCTTGGCGTAGGCGGCGACGTAGTTGTCAAACTTGTCTGCGACGAAGGGAAAGGGCCGCTTCTTGGACTTTTTGATGCGGGTCCCGTCCTCGAGGAGGGAGAAGCCGCGGAAGGCGGCCGCGACCTTGAGCATGCCCGCCATTACGTTGCCGAGGTCCTTGACCTCCGAGTCCGGGGCCAGGACGCCCTCGCGCTCGAGGCGAGCGAGCGTGGCGAGAAATAGGTTGCCGATGAGGCGGGCGGTCTGGCTGCAGAACTCACCGTCATCGGCCCTGGTGATTTAGATGTCAACGAGCTGTCTCGATGCCAATATTGCTGACGGAGAACACTTACATGGCAAAGTCGCCACCGGAGAGGTACCAGATGAACGGCACCATGGCCTCGCAGATGACCCACTGCTCCTTCCAGTTGTCCTTGGCCTCCTCGTAGTCGAGCACGAGGTTCTGGATAACCTGCAGGATACCGTAGGCGGAGTGGTCGTTATAGGTGTACATGCGGAAACTATCCGGGTCGCGCACCTGGCAGTGGATCTGCTGGGTCATGAGCTTGCGGTAGCCGGCGTTCGTAATCACGAAGGGCGCATCGGGGTGTTCTGACGCAGGCTTCGTGCAGAGGCAGGTCTTCCCGCCGTCGCACCTGGCCTTGGGCTGCTTCTCACCCTCACCCTCATCCTCCTCCTCATCTTCCTCTTCATCCTCCTCATCTTCGTCGTCGCCATTGGTTCCAAAGGGGCATCTGCAAATGTATGTGTAGGCGTATTCAATGTCTTCCATGGCCTTCTTATAGTCATTGTCGGCGTTGCGCGACGCAGAGACAGCCGACCAACGGTTGCTCTTGGTGGACCACCGCGTCTCTTCACTGGGGGCAGCAGAGGCGTCGGAGGCAGTGGTCTTGGTCTTCTTGGCTGTGCCCGAGGCCTCGCCAGCCTCGCTAGCATTTGAACGTCTCTTTGGGGGCATCCTGATAGATTACTTGGGTTCAATAAGCAGGGATGGATAGATGCGCAAGGGTCATAAGAGAATAAAGAGCTCTACGCTTGAACAAAAGAACCGGTGGGATGAGCGCCGTGTTTAAGAGCGCCTCAAGGTCTGGGGGGTTGGCCACTGTCGTCACTATCGAAACTCAAAGTTAGATGCTGAGCTGCGCAGCTTTTGGTTATTTGCTTTTTCTCAACGCGTGCGGAGCGCGTTGAGCTCCCTTGGACATGACGAAATGTGTTATCAGCCATGGGTCTTGGATCCCTGACTGTGTCAATCATGTGACGTCGACTCGGAGTCGAAATCTCGATCTCTCGCACCGATCTCGGAGCCGGTTGTTACCATCAAAAGATAATCGTCTGAAGGTTCGAGAAGTCTCGAGCTTGCTTGCTGCGCGATGCATCCGTGCAGCTCCTAATTGAGTATGTACATTGGGACGATAATGTACAGGGGTGTGATTTGCATCAGCACCACCGTTCCTCAACCTTGACATGTGCTGGAGATACATTTTCCTCTCATCCACGAACACGCACGAAAGACACAATTGGGACAATCAGAAAGACCAACACAGTGGCCAAAAAGAAAGGTTTGGTGAATCATTCAGCGCTGTCAGGAAGTGCGAGTGAGGATAGCCAATCAAGACCCGTCGGGGGACCTTAACATGGGTTGCTAGGACATGTCATTGTGCGTCCGTCGAAACGTGTGATGCTACGCACCTGTAATGATAGGTCTTTGCTGTGTATTTGGCTTATGTCGCGGGGATGAGATGGAACAGGTATTTGGGCGTCCCTTTAGACTTGCTGGGAAGATTAGAACTTCACTAGCGGAGTATTGCAAGTGAGTTACAACGTTGTCAGCAGACCACATCTACTCAGCAGCAACAATAAATGCCCTTTGTCCGATATCTCAGCTCAAATCGCAAGCATGCTACGCTCTACAACCAGAGCTTGGCCCCTTCGAGTGAGCCTGTGACCTCCCAACCTTGCCATGCCATTCCGCCAAATGCAACTGTTGTTAACAAAGCCTGAAGTGACCTTTGGTTGAAATGTTGTACATTTGACTTCATATTGGTACATATTGAACACTGCCTCTCAGGGAGGTCCTGATGTCTAAGTTTTCTAGCCATACCTGGCCCAGCCACCCAAGCAAAGAATGTCTACTGCTTGCGACTTGCTTCAAACTCAGCTTCCGGGTCAGACCGATTCACCCAGGTGTTTGTCCGCGCTATTGCCCATAGGGCTTCTTCATTTTCGCTGTCGTCCCTGGATAATATCTCACTCAAACACCCAACTTCTTGCGTCCCTTCGCCCGCCTCCGTGCCACAATCTTGCGGCCGTCCTTGGTTTTCATACGCGAAATGAAGCCGTGTCTCCGCTTCTGGATCAATCGGGTGTTCCGGTTCATCGTGTTACGAGGACCGCAGCGGACCTGCATAGCGCCCATGGCAGGGTGCCCTGTGATGGCGCTCGTCGGGACCACATCGGCGGCATCGGCTGTTGAGGGGGTAAACGGCGTGGCGGTCGGCCGGCAGAAGGCGGAGGTGAGAGGTGTGATCGAGGGACGCAGCGAGGGAAGGGAAGAGAACGTCCTGATGGCCAATGTTAGCTGATTGAAGCGCCTGTTAGGGTAGCTCATGACCAAGCCTTACCTTTGCGAGAGCGCCTGTGCGGCGACGCGGACGGGCTGGATGGCCGGACGGGAGAGAAAGCCCCTCGCCAGGCTTGTGATGGGTTGACGCATCATCTTTGCGGCAGTCGTGAGGTCGTTCTCGGGGGCTGCGTGGAGCTCTCACTGATCCCGATCACCAGGCTTGAGATTTTGCGGAAGACTTTCTTCCAACCCGACGGGAGTTCCCGTCGCTCATGCATGAAACGGGGTCCTGCGGTTCGTACGGGGCATTTCTGTACGCAAGACATTGCATGAGGCGGGTGTTTCAGCCAATTAAAGTTGGGTACGCTGGGCGCTTTCCAACCAACCACAGGCGCTGCCGGCTGCCGCAAGCTCCGACCGCAGCCCGGTTGGCCCCACTTGGTCGTCGGTTCACTGTGGACAGCTTGCCTGAGCTAAGCTGCCGCTGCTGGGTCTAACTGCCAGCTTGCGACGAGGTCCGGAGCCTGACCCTGTTTCCTCATTCAACATCTCCATTCCTGTCCCTCCTTTGCAACCCCTCCGGAATCCGAAGAAGAAGCAAAGTGAGGCCAAAATGGATTTTCTCCAACGTCTCGCGCGGTTCTTGGACCGACCTCTCTTCCCATGGAAACGCCTCATCCTCGGCTTCTCGGTCGGCCAGTTCGTCTTCGAGAGCCTGCTCTCGCTGCGCCAGTACCAGGTCCTTAAGAAGACCAAGCCGCCCAAGGTCCTCGAACAGGAAGTCTCCCAGGAAGTTTTCGACAAGTCTCAAGCCTACGGTCGCGCCAAAGCCGAGTTCGGCTTCATCAACGGTCTCTGGGGTCAGATCCAGAACATCGCCTTCATCCAGTTCGACGTCCTCCCTAAGCTATGGTCCTGGTCCGGTGATTTGCTGCTGAAGTTCGCACCAGCGCGTTTCACCGGCGAGATTTCCCAGTCTATCGTCTTCGTCCTTGCCTTCATCATGATCCAGCAGGTCCTCTCGCTGCCCGGCTCCATCTACCAGACCTTTGTGCTCGAGGAGAAGTTTGGCTTCAACAAGCAGACGCCCAAGCTTTTCATCACCGACATGATCAAGTCACAGTTCCTCGCCTTCGTCATCGCGCCCCCGATCCTTGCTGGTTTCCTCTCCATTGTCAAGAAGACGGGCAACCAGTTCTTTTTCTACCTTTGGGCGTTTGCTGCCGGCCTGCAGGTCTTCATGATTACCATCTACCCGGTTGCCATCCTGCCCCTGTTCAACAAGCTTTCGCCTTTGGAAGAGGGCGAGTTGAAGAACAACGTCGAGAGCCTCGCCAAGAGCCTGAAGTTCCCCCTTCACGAGCTCTACGTAATCGACGGAAGCAAGCGCAGCGCCCACAGCAACGCTTACTTCTTTGGCCTCCCCTGGAAGAAGCACATTGTCATTTACGACACCCTCATCGAGAAGAGTGACACACAGGAGGTTGTTGCCGTTCTCGCTCACGAACTTGGCCACTGGAGCCTCGGTCACACCACTCGTCTCTTCGGAATCTCTCAGGTATGTTCTGTAGCTATTTACGTGACGTGACACGGCTAACACCTGGTAGGCCCACTTCCTCTACATCTTCGCCCTCTTCTCTGTCTTCATCAGCAACCAGTCGTTGTACGCCGACTTCGGTTTCCTCACGGAGCACCCAATTATTATTGGCTTCATCCTCTTCTCTGATGCTCTCTCGCCCATGGACACCGTCGTCAAGCTGCTCATGAACATCTTGAGCCGCAAGTACGAGTTCCAGGCCGATGCCTTCGCCCAGAAGCTTGGCTACTCTGCTGAGCTGGCCCGGTCACTCCTTAAGCTCCAGATCCAGAACCTCAGCTCCATGGACGCCGACTGGATGTACGCAACCTACCACTTTTCTCACCCTCATCTTTCCGAGCGCCTCAACGCCCTCAACTGGAAGTCCACTAGTAAGGTTACGAAGGATGAGCCGACAGTCGCAAAGACGTCGGGAAGGGATGAGTTGTAAGAGGTTTGAAACACGAGTGCGCAAGTGCTGGATGTTGGGAGGTGGCTCTTTGCATTTTTTTTGTACAATACTATGCTACCTGCAAAGCAATTGGGTGATATCCTCATAGATGAGGATCAGAAGCGATAAATCATTGAATGTTCATACTAGTTTCCGTCGCGTTGCCCCGGTCAAATTCCTTTTGCTTGGCCAAATGAGCCCGGCCTCAACGCCTTGGTGCCCTCATATTGGCCAACACTCTTGCCAGGAGCTCCTCCCGTGTGTCGTTGTCATTTGGGAAGAGATTTCTCTGTAAAATTCGTGAGCAAACGTCAAAGTAGACTGGTGAGGACTTCACGCATACCGCGGCCAGCCATCTCCTCATCTCCTCTCTGGTCCAATCTTCTGGGTTGCCTTTCGGGTCCGGGGCAGCGGGGAACATGTCCCCGCCGTAGATGGACCAGACAGCTACGGCCGTCACCAATCCACCAAACGCTGTGATGCAATAAGCGCTAGACTCATGGGTAACATTTTAGATTATATACTTACCAAGAACTGCGTTCTGTTGCGTTCGTTAGCAAGCCCATCAACTAACAATACGCAAAAGGATACTGACCCTGGATCTCATGGCGTTGTCTAGCGGCGTGGGCATATTGTCGCTGTTGCTGTGGCTGGCGGTGCGCTGATTGATGGTTCTTTGTAACAAACGGAAAGAACCTCAGGTCGTTCTTCTTTATGTCTATTTGCAAGCGCTAACTATATGGTGTCACAAACTGGAAGAAGGAAAGTATTGCGCAACTGTAGCAACGTGTTCGCAAATGACTTTGAAGCTGGAAAGCGTCGTCAACCACCCCCCGTGCCAAGGTACCTTGCAGGCCGAGGTGGTTGTTAACTGTCCCAGCGCCACGTCTCGCCTGAGAGCTTTCGGCTGACGCGTGCCACAGTGACGTATCACTGCCACTCAAGGTGGCTGCTGCTGCCTGTGGCAGAGCAAAGGTAGGTACTAAGGCGGAGCAGCAGAGAAGTGGGGTAACCGGATTCGGCAGACTCGGTGCGAAACCTCCGACCAGCCCTCGGATCCCCGATAAGATAAGGTCGAGAATCACCCCGATTGTCTCGAGTCCAGAAGTGCAAAGTGATGGGCCCGTGCGCCTTGCGGGCGAGCGAGCGAGCGCTCTCGCCAGGGGTCCATCCCACAAAATCATTTTTGCCCTCCAAAACCCAAAACCACGAAAAGACAACCACCCAATCCGACCAGACAAGACCCCCTCCCGTCGTCGCCAATCCCCCCCAAATACCGCCAAGATGCCTCGCGAAATCGGTGATATCAAGCAGGTACGTTTACTCCCGCGGCGAAATGCTGCTCGACGATTTTTTTCGGGAAGAGATTGGCTAACAATTGACGTTTCTGTAGTTCATTGAGATTGCCCGGAGAAAGGACGCTTCCTGTATGCAAAATCCCTAAAACCCCCACCACCAACGAAGACTCAGCGAGGACGCGACTTCGGTTGCGACTCGCGATTGGAAACGGATTGCACAAGAAGAAAGGAGGAACAAGACATTTTTCTAACGTTCTCGTGATGTAGCCGCCTGCATCAAGCGCAACCGCAAGAACGCCCAGATCAAGTTCAAGGTTCGCTGCCAGCGCCACCTCTACACCCTCGTCCTCAAGGACTCCGACAAGGCCGAGAAGCTCAAGCAGTCCCTCCCCCCTCGTACGTACCCCCCTCGTCTGGTTCCTCTCGGTCACCACCTCGTGAGAAATCTCAGGGAGGTGTCAAATTGAAGGAAACGGCGCTGACCGCAAGCTCCCAACCCAACAGAGCTCCAGATCAAGGACGTCCCCAAGAAGAACCCCAAGGGCAAGTCCTCCGCATAAGTGCTTCCCCGACATTGGAACTCGAAAAGTCGTCAAAATCGCTTCGATGGAGGAATAGAAGAGCATGAGTAGCCCATCTTCATGAGATCAACGGAATGATTTCGTGGGGGGCTATTGGCCGGTCGGTCCTGGGAAAAATGAAGTGACGGGTTGTGTTTGTTTCCTCGAAAGAGGAGGACGGACGGGCCCGTTCACGAGACATATACGGCGTCAAAGGGATTATTACCTAGGCAAATTGCGGATTGAGATGGACCTGTCTACTCTTTGCTAGTCGGACATTTCGCCAATGAAGAAAACATTGAACACACAAAAAAAGCATTGCAGGCCCGCAAAACACATGAAATGTCACAACGAGAAAGGCTCGCCGAGCATGCTTCTGTATTCTTCCAGATAGCCTCGATGCCCTCTACCATCCGAGCTCAATGTCGACAACGAACCTACATGATGCGCTGGTAATGCCAGATGTCCGTCCCCGTTACAAACTCCTGAATTCCAGCCCACTCCTTGAACCCCTCGTGCTGCGCAATCGCCTTGTGCTGCTCGACCGTTGACCACCCGCAGTACATGACAAACTCCTCGAGGTCCTCGGCTGCCCTCTCGATCCGCCACGCGCCCCGGACCGGGTACGGCTTCGCGGCTTCCTCGACGACCCACTTCGCCTCGGCATACTTCTTGATGAAGGCCTCCTTCTTCTCCGACCGCACGCCGAAGCGACCGACGCTAAGAACCGGCGCCGTGAGCAGCGAGGGGGGCTCGTCCTCCGCCTTCTTCTTTCCCTCGGCTTTGCTCTCTTCCTCCGGTGCTGCGGCCGGTACTTCCGGTTGTTTGTCCTTGGACGCCGCCTCCGTCCCCGCCGCCTCCCCGTCGGTCTCTGTCTTGCTTCCTGTCTCTGCCGCGGCGTCACCGCCCGCAGGTTCACCCTCGGCCGCAGCCGCCTGCGTCACCGGCTTCGCAAAGATGGGCGCGTCCATGTGGAAGAATAAGACGCTCCGCGGGCCTTCGACGTGGATATGCGGCGTCAATTTAGCCATGACGTTCTGGTTTTCAGGCGACGCGATCCACTCGCCGTGTGCCTGCGGCGAGTCCCACTGCGCGGCCAACAAGATCACGCTTGGGTCCTCAACCTGCTGGAGGATGGCGGTGCCGCGGTCTATCCGGGTGGGCGGGAGGCCTGGCTTCTGGCGCAGGACCCAGGTGTCCTGGACCGTCTGTAAGTAGTCCATGAGTTCCTTGAGCTCCTCAGACAACGGCTCCTTGAACTGGAGGAGTGCAAACTCCGTCACGGCCATCTTGGGCAGCGGTTTGGTGGACGAAGTCGAAAAGATGGTAGCTTGTGACTCTCTTGGATGCCGGGAATTCCAGGGTTCGCGGGCCTGAAGCTCTTTGCGCGCGGGGTTCGGTGCGGGCCGGGGAATAATCGGGTACTTTCGAGGCTGAAAGGACAAAGGACAGGGAAGTACGCTCCTTCGCTTGAGATGGTGTCTCGGAAATAATATCACGCTGTGTTGAAGATTGGATGTTTACTATCTATTCGAGCCAGATGTCGGAGCATCCAGGGGAGTATCCGAGAGGATTATGGAGAGCAAGTCCACTCTGCGGGGCAACAAGGCAGTAGGCCAATGTCACGGCACCGAACTCGTGACGTTGTCGCCCGACGAGGTGCGGCACAGACTCGACGACCTAAGGCTAGCGGAGGTGCAGATAAGCGGTAGGATAGCAATAAGCTCAATTTTGTGTGACAGCCATGAGTTGATCTGCATTGTCTTGCTATCCCATTCGGAGAGCCCAAGCAACTTGGTCTTCCCCCGACCCCTCAATGCTCGGACTCGGCGGATAGCTCTCCCCGCAGCCACATTGGTCTGATTTCTCCTAGTTCGATCCTCCACGAAAGAAGCCGCAGGTTACCGGCTACCTGGCAAGATGGGAACGTAAACCGTCTTACGCTGAGTTGGGGATCAACCGGCGTTCAAAGCCCATGCTATGTGACGCAAGGCAACTCAATCATAGCCGAGCAGCTTGTAAAGTCTCTGTCCTTATGAGAAAGAGCTCCAGGTTAGCTGCTTGCTGGATGGATGCCGCTATCCGGAACTGAAGGTCACATTACTGGACAGTGCCGTACAAGCTCTCGGGCTTCAGCTCCCCAGTCAGCGGAGTCCATCAATGTCACTATTGACTGGGATATGGATGCGTTCGCCGAACGGGCTCTCGACCATGGCCTTGTGATATGAGCTACACGTAACTCGATGAGGCTCATCGTTACGGGGGAACCCATCCCTGTCAAGTGTTTGCTTGTTTCTGGCCGTCTTCCTGGGCGGCCCGAAGCCTGGGCAGGTGAGGAGATAGACCCGCAGATGCACTGTACGGTCTGCGCCTCAATCATTGAGCTGAGAGGTCTTGTCGGTGAGGTAGGATGCGGCAAGATATCGATAAGCCAATTTCCGCATGTTCCGCATTTTGGAGTGGGGGAACGATTGCCTGCCGGTAACAGCTGTATCTGGTGGAAACACCGCGTTCCAGATCATGGCCGTTGCGTTCCTTGGTGAGCCTCACAGAAACGCCCGAAGCAGGCTCCCCGGGTGAAGTAACCGGCGTGGCTTTGACCGTTAAAAGATCGAGCCAGCTAATACCTACAGCGTTGCGGCAGTGCAAAACAGCCTTCGTCTTCCGAGACACGGAGGTGTCAAATCGTGAAGTCATCGAAGTTGTGTCTCGAATGGAAACACAAGTATACCCCATGTGACCACATTCCTCGTCCCCAGGCGGTTATTCCCCTCTCCATCTGCATTCTCGAGATTGTGATGCTTCACCGCCTCAAGTTGGCTGTTGCCATATGCGAATCAGACATCATTCGAGCTTGTGCAGCCGTTCCTGGTGTCATCCGCATTGAAAGGTGCAGGAGCTTGGGCCTAATTCGAGCCCGGAGTCGGGGCGGTCGGTCGCATCGGACTGCCAGTGTTGGACAAGAAATCATCGGTCCTATGTTTATGGGAGCAGACCAGTGACACACAGTCACTTCCGTCTCGAGAAATCAGACGAAACGGTGCCCGATCGCACCAATGGCGACATGCTGCTGGCGGTTCAGAACTCATGATGGCTCGACTTCACACGGCTTTGTACCTCGATTGACCCCGCTGCTGGCTCCCATAGCTGCCGCCGTAAGCTACGCAGCGGCCCACCGCAGAAACTTACTACTATGTACTTGAGGAAGATGGTGGTGACATTGGTGCATGGTGCCCCTGACTCGTCGCTCAAGTTATCCTTCAGGTTTCTACGATAACATGCAATGTTCGTTGTGCGAAGCGGAAACACGGAAACACGCAGCCAGTCAGCATTTAATCTCGTAATCCCACGGAGGCGCTCCAAGTGATCTCAGCTCGACATGGAAGACAACATCTTACTCCTGTCAGGGTTGTGATACCTAGCTCGGGTACATCCCAGTGCTGTGTTTTCGAGGTACCACGGAGCTAGAGCAAGAGACGGCCGAGGTGGCCACCTTTTGACCTGCAGCAACCCCTGTCAACCGAGTTGGTGTTTGCTGGGAGAATGCCCATGAGGACAAAGGATACCATCAGGGGGGAGGAGAATCGGCCAATGGGGACGCGCAGGAGCAAGGCAAGGTACATGCAATATTGAGTGGGATGATAATGTGCGGTCGCCAGTCCCTGACAGCCTGACGGTCGTGGACGCAAACATGCAGCTGTACCTGGTGTCAGTCGTTGATTGTTGATTGGCAGGATGCTGACCATCACCGTACGTAAGTACTTACGAAGAAGCATCGGTACTGACTCCTGAGGTGCGTAAGGACAAGGCAACATCATGACCCATCGCGCCCTGCCGCAGCAACGTATCCCGCCGGGTGTTTAGCTATCAAGCGGCACTACCGGCTGTGAGGCACTCTAGCGTGCCGGAGGGCAGTTGGCTTGCGTCTTGAGGACATCATCGTTGTACTTCTACGGAGTAGCTGTCGCGTTTCGTCCCAAGTCTCAACAAGACATGCAGCGTCCCAGGCGCAGCGCAGCGGCTTCCACTCTGCTCCTCAAGCTCCAAAAGCGTAGCAGGACAACCGACAAGAGGAGAGACAACATTCCTGCCCCAGACTGGCAAACCCCGTTCTCCCGCATCGAACCTGAGTCAAGTCTCAGCTCCGACACGTTTTGAAGACTTGGGTTTTTCCATCTGGCGCAAAGAGGAGGGGAGAGTTCGTCACTCCAAGCCCTCATCCTTGTTGGCCTGTCCGGTTCTTTCATCCGTATCCGTAATTGTTCTTGGATCAACCGTCCGTCGTGTGCACAAACTCCGGGTTTCCTTCTGTGAGAACCCAGGTTTGTAGGTGTCCGCCGTCTTGTATAGCACTTCTCCGTCACCCTCTGGTAAATTTCCTTTCCCCATGTTTCCCGTCCGATAGGGGCCCAGCTCCATGACCCATCTTCATGTCAAGCTCCAGCAACCACGTTGTCCAATTTGCCCGTTCACCCCCCCGGAACCTTGGAAAGCTAAATTGACTAACTAAATCCAGTGTCCCATCTTCTCGTCCTCTAATAAAAGTGCTTGTATTGCTGTATTACACACACCTGGCCAAAATCGCTGCCACACCCTTTCTTCCCTCTTCCTCTCTCGCGCGCCACTATCGTCACCCGCATCCGTCTCTCTTCTCTCCCCCAACACTTTTTCCTGCTTCACCTTTCCCTCTCCACCGCTTGCGCCATCCAACCCAGCCGACTTTCTCGACCCTTCAAGACGGCCCATCTTACAGCTGCAGTCTCGATTCGCTCCGCTCTTGGTACCACCCACCAATTGACCCCTCACATCACCTACTCGGCCCTTGGACGACCCTGACGGTTGGGCTGCGCCGAGCCTCTCACAAGCCTCCTCGACTACTGCACGACGACCACGAGGTCTCTCATCGCACCCACCAATCTCTTCACCAATAGCACAGCCCACCGACGCACCTCATGGCTGTCTTCGCACCAGAAACGCGGAATGGGGTTGAACCCGTCGCCGTCAATGGCGTGCCGGCCGCCTCATATGTAAACGGCAACGGCAACCTAGCCACCCGCCTTAAGTTGGATCGCAAACAGTCGAGCCCTATGATGCCTGCTTTCATGGTCTCTGCGCCCGGCAAGGTCATTGTCGTTGGAGAACATGCTGTGGTTCACGGCAAGGTACGGTTGGCTGCGAAGCCCCTTTTCCTCGCTCATTTCGTCGCATGCACTGACTCTTGTGGGACTAATAGGCTGCGATTGCTGCTGCCATCTCTTTGCGATCATACCTCCTCGTTACCTCCCTCTCTAAGTCAAGGAGAACGGTCTCGCTGCGCTTCCCAGACATCGACCTGCAACATACGTGGAACATTGACGACCTTCCCTGGGAGACCTTCCAACACCCCGACAAGAAGAAGTACTACTACGACCTTGTAACGGAGCTTGATCCAGATCTTGTCGCAGCCATCCAGCCACACCTCGCCGAGGTATCACCACACAAGTCCGAAGAAGTGCGCAAAGTGCACCAAAATTCTGCCTCGGCGTTCCTCTACATCTTCCTCTCCTTGGGCCACCAGTCGTTCACGGGATGCCTCTACACCTTGCGATCGACGATTCCCATCGGCGCCGGTTTGGGCAGCAGCGCGTCGATCGCTGTTTGCTTGGCCGCAGCTCTTCTTCTGCAGCTGCGCACGTTGTCGGGCCCACACCCGGATCAACCCCCTGACGAGGCGCGGCTGCAAGTGGAGAGAATAAACAGATGGGCTTTTGTCTGCGAGATGTGTATACATGGCAACCCTTCGGGTGTGGACAATACCGTATCAACACAGGGCAAAGCCGTGGTCTTCCAACGGACAGATTATAACAAGCCCCCTACGGTAAGGCCACTGTGGGATTTCCCCGAACTGCCCCTCCTACTGGTCGATACGAAGCAGGCCAAGTCAACAGCCTTCGAAGTGGCTAAGGTCGCCATGCTCAAAAAGACGCACCCCGAGCTCGTTGGCAGCATTCTGGACGCCATCGACAAGGTCACAATCGCAGCAGACACGCTCATCGGAGGGGACAAGTTCGACAAAGAAGAGTCTGAAAGTCTTCGCAAGGTGGGAGAGCTTATGACCATCAACCACGGCTTGCTAGTATCTTTGGGAGTTTCACACCCACGCCTCGAGCGGATACGAGAGTTGGTGGACCACGAGGGTATCGGTTGGACAAAGCTGACCGGCGCTGGCGGCGGCGGTTGTTCCATCACATTGCTCAAGCCCGATGTAGACAAGGAGAAGCTTGTTCGACTAGAGGCCCAATTGGAGGACGAGGGCTACGAAAAGTTCGAGACGACCCTTGGTGGTGACGGTGTTGGTGTGCTCTGGCCAGCCGTCCTCAAGAACGGAATGGACGAGGACAATGATGGTGGTATGGAAATCGACCAGGAGAGCTTTCTGAATGCCGACGGCAATGAGGGCGTCGAGAAGCTGGTCGGTGTCCATGGAGGCGTAGGGGAGCGCGAGGGGTGGAAGTTCTGGAGAGTCGAGAGCCGATGACGAACGCGGTGACGCCCGCATGATCTGCTTCTTAACACTTTCGTGCTCTACCAGCTTTGCCAGGGCGCAAAGTCGGGAAGGGCCTTTATTGACTCTACTTTTTATTTTGCCGTACGACATGATAATGGCGCTGAGGGGACAGGAACATTTAGGGGGCCTTCATGTTTCATATTTTAATCGGCGCGGAGAGCTTAGAAGCCCACCTTACAGTGCTAAAAACTTAATGCTTTGTTGTGTAAACTAAAACGAATTGTTCGGCCTTGGGCTGTGAACGTTCGTATTGTTACGTGCCGTTGTCCTACATCGAATGCCTTGGTAAGGGTCTGGGTGATTGTATGGTTTGTAGTCCAGGAGCTTTCTGTGGTGGGGTACAGTGGCTGTGGGCGTAACATTTTCCATGGCCAGATCAGACCTCGCCGCCAAATCAACCCCGCCATCGATCAAGCCAGCCGCAGACATGCCCGCCAAATCCAAGGTCAGCTCCAAAGCCAAGGAAGCTGAGAGCAAGAGTACGTTGATACCAGGCACTCCGTCCTTCGCTGGTTCATACAGCTTCCTTTGAACTTTGCATAGCCAGAAAACGCCCAAGTCGACCCTCCTCACCGTACCTGTGCTAACCTAGCTCCTGGATACAGGCAAGCAAACACAACCTGTTGCCGAGGCCCAGGAACCCCCGAAGACGGTCAACGAGCGTTCCCTTCACCGCTACTATCAGACAAACCCTCACGAGCGGAAGCGCGAGGAAGCGGGCGGCCTGCATAGCCTTACACCTGCCGAACGACAGTCCTGGGTCAACGCGACCTTGGTACGCCGCGTAGCGAGCAAGGAGATATACCTCACCAACAAGGCGGAGCGTGAGTTCTGGAAACAGGTCAACCGCGAGAGCCCGCCGATCCGTCGCCTTGACCGGTACAAGACCGAAAAGGGCACCGCAGTCGTCTACGACTGGGGCAAGGACAAGAACGGTCGCGACGTCGGCGAGTACCCGCTCGAGCAGTTTGCCGCCCGGGCCGCGAAGCAAGCACAGCTCACGGCGCTCGAGGTTCTGCACCGGCGCTTCCTTCAACGAAGGGAGTTTGCGAGGGACGGCGTAACGGACGCGACGACGGGAGAGGTCACGCAGATCACCCGGGAGGACATCCAAGAGGAGACACAGAGACGACGGGAGATATCGGCGATCAGGAAGGAGCTTTACGGTGACAAGATGGGCCCTTACGCGACGGACCCAGAGTGGGACGATATCGTGCCCATTCCCGCTGAGGAGCCCGAGGGCGCGCTGGCTACCATCGCTTACCCGGAGGACTACGCTGAGGGTAAATAATTCACATCTACTTGTGTCTTGAACAGTGGCATACATTCGGGGCCTCGTTTCCACTGACACTCCATGCGTTTTCCCAGTCATGAGTTACCTCCGTGCCGTCATGGTGGCCGAAGAGTACACCGAGCGGTGCCTCCGGCTGACGGAACACGTCATTTCCATGAACCCGGCGCACTACACAGTGTGGCTGTACCGCTTCAAGATAGTTGAGACGCTTAACATCCCGCTTGCCGAGGAGATCGAGTGGCTAAACGCCGTCTCGCTCGAGCACATCAAGAACTACCAGATCTGGCACCACCGACAGCTGCTGCTGGACCACTACTACGAGGGCATCAAGGCGACGCCAGACGAGGTCAAGCGCTTTGCCCGGTCCGAGACCGAGTTTCTTACGCGCATGCTCGAGGAGGATACCAAAAACTACCACGTGTGGAGCTATCGGCAGTACCTCGTGCGCAAGCTGGGGCTGTGGAACCTGACGGAGCTGCTGTCGACGCAGAACTGGATCGAGGAGGATGTGCGCAACAACTCGGCCTGGTCGCACCGCTTCTTCCTTGTCTTCAACGACCCAGCCGCCTCGACCGAGGGCTCGCACGCGACGGAGGCCGACCCCAAGGTCCCCGCCGAGATCATCGACCGCGAGGTGAAGTACGCCGAAGAGAAGACGCTCCTGGCGCCGCAGAACCAGGCCGCCTGGAACTACCTGCGCGGCGTGCTGGTCAAGGGCGGGCGCAAGCTCGAGACGGCCGAGGCATTTGCTGGGCAGTTCGTGAAGGGCGTCGGCGAGGGCGAGGATAAGGAGGAGGTGCGGAGCAGCCACGCGCTGGACTTCTTAGCCGAGGTGTTTGCGGAGAAGGGACAGAAGGCCGAGGCGGCCAAGTATCTCGACCGGCTGGCGGAGAGGTGGGACCCTGTAAGGGCGGGATACTGGAAGTACAGGAAGCAACAGCTGGAGTAGCTCATTGTGGCAAATTGTATACTTTATGGTATTTCGTAGGCATCCTAATCTATTGTGAATTCCAACTTTCACCATAGCGCAGGGTGGCTAACATCATCGATGGGCATTTTGCCCGTTAATGTAACTTTTTTCGTTATTGCCATGCCAATGCCGTCGGAAGGAGTCTGCTCCCAAACCATGGCCTCTGTTTTAACGTCCTAAATCCATTCTGTAAATGGTTAGCAGGCCAAAGCTAGGAGATGGAGAGGGGCAAGCAACTTTACCTTTTGGTTCATTCTATAATAGCAAACCCAGTACGTGCGATGTCGCTTGCAATGTCAAACCTGCTTCCATTCGCCAACCCCAGTGCCTCACAATGCGCGGAAGTTTTGGCTCATTATCAACCACCGCCTGGCGCCTCTTGGCGGGTTCTTCCCAAACGTATCCCAGTTCGGTACCAGCACGAATACCTCGTTGAACGTCTTGGCCGGCGCGTCGCGGCCCTTGCCGTAGTAAACGCGGCCGGTGACCTGGGCAGCGATGCTGCATTTAGCACCCTTCTCGTCACCGCGTTGCAAATGCTCGGGGCAGCCGAGCGAAAAGTCGTTGTTGACCACATGAGCGTCGAGCGACTCGATCTCGTAACGGACGTCGGCGCCCTGAGTGTCGAGAAGGGCGACGTACTCGTCGGGGCCGCCCTGCAGAACGGCGCCGTTTATGGAGATGTCGGGCTGCGAAGGATATTTGGAGCAGGTCGTCGTGTAGAAGTTTGTGAGGGTGCCGGCGGGCTTGCGGCGGTTGAGGGCTTCGTAGTAGGCGTCGGCGAAGTTTGAGGCCGCTGGGAAGTGTTAGAAGGATTGGGTGTGATGGGGTGGAGGGGAGTGTACCGTCAGCAGACGCTCTCATTTCCGTTTCGCGGGAGGGCAGCGACATGATTGCAGTCAGACTCGGATTATCAGTCGCGAATCTGTGTACGTGAATGTGGTAAGACGTGGTTGTATTTATTCGGTGATGTTGTCGCAAAGCATTGAAGTAAGGACTCGGGCAGAAGTTTGGCGGGGCAGGAACGATCCTCAACTGATAAGAGCTTTGCACCGTTATCGAAACGTCTAACTCGTACGGTGCTCTCGACAGGAAGGAACATTTCGAGAGCATCCTTCCCAGTTCGACTCATCACGCAACTTCGATCTTTCCTGCGACGGCATGCTCTCCAAGCTGTAGACAAGATTGCCACAGTTTCAATGCGAACAGCGAGACTACCCGCAGCTTCGGCCTTTCGCAGCTGTCGCTATGTCCCGGCACTACGACCAGCATGGGTCTGTCCATCGTGCAGCCATGGCCAGACATTGCGACGCCGGTTTATGAGCTCCGACAGCAAGGGCGACAAGCCATACTACGTGACGACGCCGATTTTCTACGTCAATGCATGTATGTGAAGCACTAATCGCACTCCAATGCTACAGATCAGGGCTAATTGAGATCACCGTAGCGCCGCACGTCGGCCACATGTACTCGATGCTCCTTGCCGACGTTCTAAAGCGCTGGCAAGTCCTCAAGGGCCGGCCCGCGATCCTCTGCACCGGGACGGACGAGCATGGCTCCAAGGTGCAACAAGCGGCGGCGCGGCAGGGTGTGGCGCCCAAGGAGTTCTGCGATACAACGGCCGAGAAGTTCCGAGACCTGGCGCGGGCGATCGGCATGGACAACGACCACTTCATCCGCACGACGGACCTGGACCACAAGGAGGCGGTGCAGCATTTCTGGCACCTTCTTAAAGAGAAAGGTTACATATACGAGTCCAAGCATGAGGGATGGTACTGCGTCAGCGATGAGTGCTTTTACGCAGCCAACGAGGTCGAGCGGACGGTTGTGCCGCAGACGGGACGAACGGTGATGGCTTCGATCGAGTCCGGGAATGAGGTTGAGTGGGTCGAGGAGAAGAACTATCACTTCCGCATGACAGCGTTGAAGGACAGGTTGTTGGCGTTCTACGCGGCGAACCCAGACTGGATCGTGCCAAGGGCGCGCATGAAAGAGGTGGTCGCCTGGGTATCGAACAACCTTGAGGACCTCTCGATCTCGCGGCCGGTGCAGAGGCTGGACTGGGGCGTGCGCGTGCCCGACGATCCGACTCAGACCATCTACGTATGGGTCGATGCGCTCATCAACTACCTCACCAAGGCGGGCTTCCCCGGCTGGCAGCCAGGTCGCGAGCACGAGGGCGGGTGGCCCGCAGATGTGCAGGTCATTGGCAAGGACATTGTGCGGTTCCACGGCGTGTATTGGCCGGCGCTGCTCATGGCGCTGGAACTTCCGCTGCCGAAGCAGCTGCTGACCCACGCGCACTGGACGTTGGGGAAGAAGAAGATGTCCAAGTCGCTGGGAAACGTCGTAAATCCGTTCTTCGCGATTGACCGCTGGGGATTGGACACAATGCGATACTTCATGATGCGCGATGGCGGTATTGAAAAAGATGCCGATTACGAGAACTCGCTTGTCGTGGCGAGGTATCAGAAGGACCTGCAATCGACCTTGGGCAACTTGATGAACCGGGTCGCAAAGAGCAAAGTGTGGAAGCTTAGGGACTCTGTGGCGTGGGCGGGTGAGAACGGCACATCCATGGGGCACAACGTCCATGCGAGCGAGGCACTGAAGGCGTCAGTTGATGAGATGGCAGCAACCATGTCGAAGTACATGGACGAGCTAAACCCCAACGCCGCCATCCGCAGCGTGCTGAGCGTTCTCGTGGAGGTGAGAAGAAGCACATGATTTTTCCTATGAGCTGGACTGACCCAAAAACTCAGGCGAACAAGTACATTTCCGACACGGCCCCGTGGAAGCTGACCAAGTCGGCTGAGGCCAAGGATCAGGCCGCGCTGCACGAGATCATCTACTGTGCCTCGGAAGCCGTTCGGTGTGCGGGCATTCTCCTACAGCCCGTCATGCCGTCCAAAATGGGTACTCTTCTTGACATGGTTGGCGTCCAAGCCGACAGACGCGGGTTTGAGTACGCGGTGTTCGGCGCGGACCTGACGTACGGCACGCCGGCAATTGACCCCGGACGACCCGGAGAGTGGAACAGCCTCTTCCCGCCGCAAGCTTCTGAGAAGTAACCTCGAGGCTTGGAATTAGTGCTCGTGATGATGTATGGACTCGATGTCTGTGTATAGTAATCTCCCAGAACCGAAGGCGTTTGTAGGATTATTTGTAGTGTTTTATAATACCAAAAAGACAAAAGTACAAGAGCCGATCATCGGGAAGTTCAGACCGTATCTCGAGTACTTTAGGCTCAACACTCACAAGGTGAGGTTTTGATGTTGGTAAAACGTCTGCTGAGACGCCTTCCACGGCATTCAGGGTAAGAAGTTCATCCGCCTTCGACATCGCGACCCGATGGTAGTCCTGAGGGTCAATCTCAGTCACGTCGTTCGTGGAAATGAAATTTGTCCGTTATAGCAAACATCCCGAAGAGAGCCCTGCAGTGCACTGACCCGCGGCCAAGACCCTGCATGCCGTGCCTAGCTCCTGCATGACATGGCAATGGCGCCCTTTGCTTGACTACCTACCTCGATCCACAACTTTGCAACTACATTTATGAGATCACATCGCGTCCTTGAAAGTCATCAAGAAGCTTCGTAGCACTCGGCTGTTTAACCAAAAACCTATTGTTGTCTCTGGGAGCCTCTGGGTGCATTACCACAACGAATACGATCATGGGCTCACTCTCCTCAGACTCCAATCGGCCATGGATTGAGACACCATGCATTAGATCGGCAACGCTGTCCCGCTTAGCAGGATGGTCAGTTTGCAGTCCACTTCACAACTAGAACCAAGCTAACAATCCCCAGTAACGTTTATCTCAAGCTTGAGAACCTCCAGCCCTCAGGGTCTTTCAAGTCCCGCGGGGTCGGAAACCTCATGGCTCGTGCCGCCGAAGCTGCCCCAGGAGTAGGCGCACACTTTTACTGTTCGTCCGGCGGCAACGCTGGCCTGGCATGCGCAACCTCGGCCATCGCCCTCAAGAGCAAGGCCACCATTGTCTTGCCCACGACGGCATCTCCTCTCATGATCTCGAAGCTGCAAATTCTTGGTGCACACTGCGTCCAGATCGGCGAGAACTGGGCCCAGGCGGACCGCCACCTTCGTGAAGAGTTGCTGACCAAAGACCCGGCCGGTGTCTATGTGCCGCCCTTCGATCACCCGCACGTCTGGGACGGCGCCGCTACTATCATCGATGAGGTGGCCTCACAGATCCCGGGAGACCTCGGTATCGACGCCGTGGTGTGTTCTGTTGGTGGCGGTGGCCTGCTCAGCGGCCTGCAACAGGGTATTTCTCAGCGTGACTGGCTCAGCCGGCCTACACCGAGGCTGATGGCGGTCGAGACTGTGGGTGCAGACAGCCTTAACGCCAGCGTGCGTGCCGGAGAACACGTCACACTCCCGGGCATCACATCCATTGCGGGCTCCCTTGGCGCAGTGCGTGTCGCGACCAAGGCGTGGGAGGTTGCACGAGATACCCCCGGCTTCAAGAGCGTGACAGTTACTGATGCAGAAGCAGCCATGGCTTGCGTGCGCTTCGTCGACGACGCGCTGCTGGTCGTTGAGATCTCTTGTGGAGCGACGATTGCCACTGTTTACAACGGCACTCTGCGGAAGCAGCTAGGCTGCGACGTGTCGGATGAGGAGTGGTCGAAGAAGAACATTGTCCTTATCGTTTGCGGTGGCTCAAATGTTACCATGGAGATACTAGACGGGTACCGCGCCAAGTTCGGCATCGCCGTATGAACGACGCACATATCTGCCCTTTGAAGCGGGCATTCACGTAGATAGATGAATAGATATTGAAGAGGGGCCCTGCCAGGAGGCTACTGGAGGCTTCATAGATAGAACCGGAACCAGGTTTAATGTTGATCAGAGTCACAAGGTTCAACCGATATTGGCAGCACATCTTGGCTTATGATATACGATGTTTGGTCATCTAGAATATACGACTTCACGATACTCCTTTGCGGCATTGACACCGGCAGAAGACGCCACAAACTGTCCTAGCTCCTTCAGAACCATTTGGATCTCCCCGAAGTAATTCACTTCTCCCTTTTGCACGAACCCCAACCGCCTAAACAGCGCAATGCTCGCCGCGTTCTCCTTCTTGATCTTGACCATCAAACCCTTTAGCTCCGGCGTCTTTCCCTCGCTAGTCTTACTCTCACCCTCAATGTACTCCGCAAGAATACGATCCTTGTTGCGGTGCACGTAGGTCAAGAGCGTCGTCACCGCGGCGTGTCCGATGCCCTTGCCCCGATGCTCTTTAGACGCGACCATGACGTCCACCTCGCCGACGTACGAGCCATCAGCCACGCTTTGAGTCGCCTCATCGTCATCGTAGTCGTCGTTAGGGTAAATGAAGAAATTGATATCGCCTATCATGTGCTTCGATGCGTCAACCTCCCCAGCCTGTACCGCCTCAGCTTTCGTCCCAGGTGATTCAGGCAGCGGCTGGCAGATGATGAAAGTGAGCTTGTCGTGCGACGTCCGCCACGACTGCTGGTTCTCGTACTCTTCCTCGAGCGTCAACGGTTCCGAGGCCGTGGCCTCTTGGATGTCCTACATCGCAAAAGCTTGTGGTTAGTTTACTTCGTCCTTGCTCTTCGTCAAAGCCGTCATGAATAAAGGATTCGGGACGAAGTGAGTGAGAGAGTGAGTAGCTCGGGGTTTGCTAACCGGATCGCTCATCCATTCATGATACCGCTCCACATGTCTCGCCTCGTATGGGACCAGAGTCACCCGCGGCGTCGCAATGGCTGCCCTTTGCGTGTAAGCAAAAATTCACCTTCAAATAGGTATCTTATCGTCTAGACTTGATACAAACAGGGGCGTGGATGACATGCCTGTCTGCTCGTTCAGCCTCATTGTGCACTTGCATAAGTTGTCACAAATACACTCGCAAACTCCACTTCAACTCTCGTCAAAAATGCAAAGCAAACACGAATACCCCGCCGGTCTCGCCCACTCGCAGCTCCACGTCCTCTCCTGCCGGTGTCCCAAAGAGGGAGTGTGTCAATGCCAAACAATGGTCAAGTATGGGATTGGGACTGCTCAACTCCACAACAGCTCTAGCTGAGTTATAGTCAACGTGCCAGAGTGGTTAATGGGCTGCCCTGCTACGGATACCCGATTATTGGATCAGGTTCCTGCAGTTTAGGCAGTGGCTTCGGTCGCGCAAGTTCGAATCTTGTCGTTGACGACACTTCTTTTTTCCCCCTGGCTAGCTTTTGTCAGGTGGTGGAGGTGAGTAGTTGAAGTGAGTCATTCGGTATCGTGCTATGTATGTTGATGTTAGCTATGTTTTTTTTGGGGCGCAGAGGTCACAGCTATGGTGTTCCCCCCTTGGTGAGCTGTGTCCTCCCACTTTGTTCGCTCCGCCCCACATTGACTGGCTGCAACAGCCTCTTTCTTTCTTGACACATCTACCACTTTAACATTAAAGCAGACAAATCCAATTTATAAGTGTGATGAGCTAGACGTACTCATTACGCCATGCATAGAAAAAGTGCCAAAAATGGCAAAAGGAAACGTCAAGGACAGGATTCGAACCTGCGCGACCGAAGCCACTGCCTAATCTGGAATCAAGGTTTGATAGCAGGGCAGCCCATTAACCACTCTGGCACCTTGACTAGTGGTCGTTGATGAAAGAACCTCTCCATATTCACACTATGTACGTCGCGACAATCTTTGACAGACACTCCGTCGTAACCTTGTTATTGCAGACGCTGCAGTGATGTTATCCTTGGTGTTGTCAACATGTGAACGTCTGCGGGATACGGAAAGATTATGGCGCCGTCATAATTTGAGGGGTTGAAAAGAGAGCATTCGGGTTAAGATCGTAGGGTATGTCATGCCCGCTGTCCTTGTCTAGATTATGCTTGTTCATCTACAGCTTTGATCAACGAGGTTCTTATTACAAGGTAGCAGTTACTGTGGTAGTGATAAATCGGGATTCAAGCTTGTATGTCTGCTGGAATCGAATCGGAGGTCATTAGTGACATGCACCAATGTGTTCGGCAGATGAAATCGGTCTTTCTGTGGGCTGACCCAAATACAGCATGAAGCGGGCCTAGTATAAGGTGATGTAGCTTGCATAATGGGTATACACATCGCCATTTCCTTTGCCCAAAGCCGCATGGTCGTCTCTCATCAGCCTGTATTCCTCCTCGAGAGGTCTGGGGCTCACCGTTTAGAATTCGTCGGCGGTTTCTGAATTGATGATTGTTATAATACGTATTACCCTTGAGGGCATCTCACCTTGAAGATGTTTCTGAGTCTGGGGCAAGTAAAATGACTGTGGTAGTATCAATGTTACATTCTTGCCAGTTTACAGACTATGGCCAGTAGATGGCAACGTGAAAGGCGACTGTGATGTAATCGAAGTTGGAATAGCTGAACTGCGTGATGCAACCTTCTGTCGTTCATTCCGTGTCCAAGGTGAACTCAGATGTGGTTGAAAGATCACTCCTCGACTGCTTGACTGTCAAATTCGCTTATACGTGAGTAGGTATGAGACAAGTCGTTAAAGGGGGATGAAGATGGGCTGAGTGGTCAAGCATCGCCTCCAAGCTAGGAACGTACAAGAGACTGAAGGAACTCACACGATGAGTTTCTGTCATTGCACCAGGACTTGGCGGATAGTCTTCAGACTCATCGATTGGTTTCAGGTGGGGGGAAGCTAGTTGGCCGATGGTAGATATGCAACGACAATAGGCCTTATACTTGAGAGGTAGTCTCTAGGCGGACAACTATGAAAGCTGGTAATGTCGAAACGAAGATGAGTGTATTGACAACAAGAAAAAGTTACTAAAGTGTATCGGAGTTAGGACTACCTTGATATCTAGCTCTCGTTATCTCATTACATGGTGGTTAATTGACGAAATGTATACAGAAGCGTCGTTGTGGGCTCCCGGTTCCCCGTTATAGAACGGTTCTCACGATAATCTTCCCCTGAAGAAGACAAAACCCTATGGATAGCTTATCGATTTGATACTTGGTACCTACATGCGCGATGCTCTCATGTAAATGCTAGAAGTCCGGCGTACTTCAGGTGCATTTGTCACCACTAGATGCTTTGAGTTCTACGTTGGGCCGTTTCGTCTTCCGAGCAATGTATTTTCTCTGCTCAAATCCATTCTTGTTCCCTGTTGATGTGATTACAATTATAGTTGCAGTCAAAGACAAGAGACTTCGACGTGCCTGGTAAAGATTTCAAGGTCACAATGATCGGCCCAGACACTGATTCTCAACGTCCCCTTCCATGAAGAATGAGAACTGCAACCTTAGAGAATACTATAACAAAGAAACACAGACTATCTACAACAGAAAAAAAGGGCCCGGGTATGCCATGTGTTCGGCTCTTATCTAACAAAGCACATCAGCTCTCTCCGCAGCCAAACCAGGACATGACAGACATAAAGACGCTTCTGTTATCCCTTCAAGTAGACTTTAGACTCACATACTGCAAGGGGGGTCTCATTCGGTTCACACGCTCACCGCAGGCGGACTCTTAGACCCTTTCTGAATGTCGAGAATGAGGGATACAGCCAGCTTGACGAACTTACTTATCCCCAGGATAGTTGCACAGCTGACTCTTCACCCACTGCTATCCAAGGAGAAATCAATGGATACTAGGAGAGAGATAGTTGCAAGTGAGAAGCGAAAACGCCCTTCGTTTTATAGTATGTCTCGAAAACTCGACATGTCGTTGAGGCTTTCTATAGCATTCCAACCCCTAAGAAGATGGGCATCTCGAGAGATCGATTCACGCTTGGAGTAAACCCTCGTATCGTTGTAGCCTCGCCTGTCTCATTGTGAGTAAATAGGGACGTTATAGGTTAGAATCCCACGACGGCTCGACGTCCTGTTAAAATCAGTATTAAAATATTCTTTCAAGTCGGATTGATATACATGTGTGCCTGCACGATGAAAACGAAACGCACAGCAAGTCTTGCAGCCGAACAGGACGACACCAGCTCACCGGCCACTTCGATCACTATGTGTCTCAAGCGGCCAACCCCCGGCATGGAATACCGTCTTGTGTTTAATGACTGGTAAATGAAAGAGGAGATGTTAACACTCAGGGCCAGAACTCTCGTGTGTGGATTAGGTAACTACGAAGCCTCCTCTTCACTACCTGCGTTTCGTACAGTCTAAACGCATGTATATATGGCAAGGCGAGCCTCCTGTTCGAATCCCAGAGAGCATTCAAAGACGTGACCACTTCTAGTATCTAAATCTAACGCTGAGTAAGCGTTCCCTATATTCTCTAGGGCTCTGGGCTGACTATAGCTTGGTTGCAATATACTTCATGGTCATCCATAATACAATAAAAGTCATTGAAGTTGTATTCTCGATAGAACTTACTCAACAAAAGCATGAACTGCACGATGAATTACATCTCCAGCTACTCGTCTTCTCCGTCATCTCGGGCTTTTCATATACCAAATAAAGAAGCACACCTTGACATTCCTTAAACAGGTGTTATGAAGTCAATCGAAACCTCGACCGTATCGATCTTTAGACAAAATCAAGATTTCAAACGAAGCGGACCAGTGTGTGCTACAATCACATTCTCCAACTTGAATCTGACAACATGACGGAACAGACTCCCCATGGCCTAACTTGATAAAAATGAAGAACATGTCATTTGCTGGACGTCCTCATCATGTGAGGCAGCAAGAGTGCAGCCCAACCATAGAGAAGCGGCAGAAACCGCATCCGGGAACAAGTCTCGACTCAGGCCTTTGGAGGCTTCAACTCATCTTGCTCGCTTCAACCAGCAACCATAGCTGGCGGCACAAGGTCGTCTTACAGCCCGGACATTATTACACAGACCGGCGCGCAAAGTCAATTCTGCCAGCAGTGAGCTTTCGAGGCCGGATCGAGTATTGAGTTCCTCATGACCATGCGGAATGAGACCTATTCGGACACCCACATCACAAGCCCGTCAGCCACAGGGCGAAAGCTGTCTGGAGTTGAATCAGGGGCTTGCAGTATATTTCGCTTTTCCAAATTAATTACCGTAGCTCCCTCCTCTCGTAACAGAGTCCTCGATGAAGAGGAAATCTCGACAAAAGTACCACAGACATGAGCCCGATAACGTTGACCTTCCTGCAACAGAGCAAATGGGGGCCACACTGAGTCAGCGCTCACCGTGTCCCCGAGTCATCTTTGATTTCCTTCATACAACTCAACTGTACTCATGGATCTATCTAGACCAGGCTTGGGTCTAGGTCCTTGCTTTCTTTTCGTCCAAAAATGACCGAGGACAAACTTCTGTCATCCGATAACGAAAAGAAACAACCCTTCTCCCACATCAAACTAACAGTTTCACAAGGTGAATCGGTCTTTCCTTACCAATTCCAACGGCTGTAGGAACACCCCCTCTAATATGCCATCAAGCCCAAACGTCCGTCGATACTCTTAATCCTCTAGCCACTCATCGCCATTCCCTACAATCGTCAGAAAATGTTCCGAACACCCACATCGTCGATCATCTAGCTCAATTCCACAGGACAATCAATAACTCTCAAACACATCCCCCTTTCTCACTAAGAACGCTTACTTACCCCTCTCCACCAAGCCCGTTCCACACCAACATCTCCCAATGTACTCAC